TTCAATTACCTGAAAAGCAGTACAATTTTTCAACCACAAAAGGCTTAATATTTGTTACAAAACTGTTTTATTTGTCTCACCAACATGTCATACAAAGGCTAATTACAGGCATTCAATGGTAGGTACTAATATCACAATTTGAAAAGTTTGAGATTAGATAATTCTACTGTCTATCTTCTGGAATAATGATTATATCAAGCAAACATTTCAAACACAATTTCAAGATAGCACAGCATTTCCTGAGCATGGCCACATATCATTGGACAATAATAGAATAGGATCTCTCTTTGTAAATCCGACAATATTTTTTAAATAGCAGTACATCCACAATAGCGAATAGGTATATTAAGACTTTATTATTTATCAACTTTCATTACAAAACTATAAAATTATCTTTCTCAGATCATACAAATAAGTCACTACGATATCCAGATACAAACTATGCATAATACTCAAATGGCTTCATTAAATACATGACAATCCAGAAGAGATTTTGAATTTAGTTCATATGTGATCAATATAGTAACAACACTGGGAGTGTTTAAGTCTAATGTACAATAATATTGGAGAAAAAATTTTAAGCATAGATCACATATTATACAATTCTTTTTTTCCATCATTACTACATTTTATTCTCTCAAGTATACTACCAATTTATATTAATATTTCACATGTGTTTACAATGCTCTTTTTGTAATAAGAGACTAGCACATTAGCAGCAAAATATTACAAAAAACTTTTCAAATTTCTCAAACACCTATGGAGAATAAGCTACTACTGAATTTTCTTTTAGCTTTATGTGGTCTGTGAACTAGCAAGTTCTTAAGTGACAACAGTATTATTCCAGCAAATACACTGAAAACAAGAAATATCTCGATAAAATAAAAGTTTTTGCAAGAGCACTCAACATTCAAAGAATTCATTTCAAACTATAAATGAACACGCTCACAGTAACTGAATAGCAATCATTTATTTATGTGGAGAATTTCATAAAAATGAAATATGAATATATAATCAGAACTTCTATATTGTTTAACAATGAAACTAAGGTAAAAAAACATTAATAATAGTAATCTCACTCAAAATAATGAAATTTTCAAACAATAATTTGATGCAGAGCAATAAATACGCCGAATTAAAATATTTTCTTACATCCATTTGCAACAAAAAAGGCATACAATACTAGGAGGAACAGGAGAATCAAAGGGAGATTGAATCCAAACACATTTTACAGCACATCTCCCTTCTGAGGAAAAGTACTATATTTACAGAACACAAGTTATACAATACACTTCTTTTTCACAACTCAAAATAAGTGTTTAACAAAATTAACTCAGTCTGTAAAATAGCATACCTATTATACTCTTTCAGTTCAGAATTAAGAACACAACAAGAATCACAGAAATGATTCAATAAAATGTAGACAAAATCAAAAACTGTTTAACGACAAAAATATTTAACTTAACACTTAATATTGTAAGACTTAACATTCTAAAATAAATCAATGCTTCTTATCCCTCAAGTTTTCTCAGTAACTTCAGAAACCTTTTTCTGTCCTTGAGCAGCATCAAGCAATGCTTCTATTAGAGTTCGCACATTACCTCTACATTTCTCATCTTCTTCATTAAACACTATGCTTATTACCTTAGAAGGTTCTCTAGTATTAACTGAAATTGTATCTTCACTATGTGTTTCCTCAGGCACAAAAACCTGCACCACTGGTTCAAGTTCCTCATTATCCTCTTCTTCTCGAGTATCAATAACAATAGGTTGTTCATGACCGGCTGTTTCAGGTCTAAAGTGTCCTACATTTTTAGGAGCAACCACTCGTATAATATTAGTTGGATACAATCTTGCTGTTTCTTTAATCGGATTTACTTTCTTATTTTCATCTTCCGGGGAATTATTAATCTGAATCACAACAGCTTCTACCCCAGATGTTTCATTATTTGAAACACACACATTAGAAGTGTCTATAATTTCATTTTCTTTAGTATTGCTAACTTTAACAACATTAGGCAAACACTTAAAAGGAATTGTCGACATTCCATCTCTTTTAATCACACGACATTCTACAGGCTCCCCGATACTTGAAATATAATTTTCATTAGTTTCACCATCACAACTGTCATTGTCATGACATGGCTCATCTGCAGACTCGTCTTCTAGTAAAGAATCTGTCAGAGCTTGCAACCTCTCTTCATCCACATCATCTGCTCCAGCTTCAGATGGATCCATTCCTCCTGGCAAAGGATGAATGTACCGAACATGATTTTCCCAATACTCACGTTTCCCAAATTTGAATCCACAAACTTCACAAACATAAAAAAGTTTTTTGTCATGATTCATTAAATGCCAACGAAGATTTTTTTTGTCACCAAATGCCCTTTGGCATCTGCAACATTTAAAAGGCTTTTGTTTGTTGTGAACAATTCGAACGTGGCGTTCAACATCACCTTTACGAGTGAATCTTGCTTCACAAACTTCACATCCAAAAGGCTTTTCGCCTGTATGTGTACGCAAGTGTTGTCGGAATGAAGATGGTTTTAAAAGTTTATGGCATTCATTACATTCTATTTTATCATCAGGGCTCAACTGACTTAGTCTTCGAATTGTTTCAGAACTTAAACGATTTCTCCTATATTTACGTTTGGACTTTTGAATCAATGCATAACTCTTTCCTCCGTCATCCCCTTCATATAATTCAACTTCTCCTTCAGCATCATATTGAACTTCCACACCAATTGGCACTATTATTCTTTCTTCCGAGTATGAGTCTAGACTAACTCCCTCCTCTGGTAAATTTTCCTTCTCTCCTTCAGGAATTGAACTTACTTCCTCTTCTCGCAATTCAGTAATTTCCTCAGAAAGAACAGCATCAAGTTTTAATCGTTTGTCAACACAATCATCTTCTACTTCTTCTTCACATGCCACATCTGAGATAACATCAACTTTTTCAGTTATCTCTTCTACTTCTTTACTTACATCATTTTGATCCTCAAAAGGAACCTTAGGTTTTCGACATCTTTTTTCTTTTAGAGCTACAAATTTTAGATTTGTATCTGAAATGTCTGGCTCTTGGTTAGGAGCATGAATTTTTCTGGGTCTTCCACGAGGCCTTTTTTCAGGAGATTCACTGTTTTTCATGTTAACTTTCCCGTTTGATTTCATATCAGTAATAAAATCATCTTGAATTGACCTACTATCGTCAGTTTTACTGGTCTTCGATTCAAAGGATGAACTAATTGGCTTTGAAAAATAGTATTCAAAGTCTTCATCCAATCTTTTCTTAGCAACTTTTCTCCGCAAACCATAGCCTCCATTAGATCGCTTCTGCCTGGAGTTCATGGTCAACAGGGCCTTGTTGTCCTCAAAATTCCTCAAAACCAAAACCTACAATAGAAGAGAGAGCTGATTCAATACAAGCAACCATATTTAATATATGAAATGTAATTGATATCTGTACCTCAACTAATGATTTTTAATTTCATTCAATCCAAATTACAAGAAACAAGATTGTAAAAGGATGCCTCTTTCAAAAAGATACAAAAACATAATTTATTGAATCAACTCCCTTTCACAAACTTGTTTTCTTCAAAGTATTAATATTACTTCTATGAACAACATAAAATATACTCACATAAGTTTGAGGGAAAATGTCAATGAAACAACATCTGTTATCTTCAATAAATCAAACACAAGGAAAATGCCCACACAATGCAATATTTTGCTGAATATTAAGAGGAGAATAAACCAACTCTGCTTGGATGATGGATAAATTACACGAGATTGTGTAGAGTCACTAATGTATCTGCCAGGTATTCCTTTCATACTCTCACAAAGTTATTTCATTTAAAATGTATTTGCTGAAACAAAATACAATTCTTAGCAAATAAAGGAATATATAAGTAATAAAATGAACTAGTATGTAATTAATACAAAAATTTATCATAGAGATACTTTCTTAAAAAAAGTAAAATGCCAATTAAGGAAAAATATTCGTATTTGAAACGATATGTAAATTTCTCCCAAAACAGTTTGGAAAAGAGCAACTTCACTAACTCGTGCATTTCATTTTATATGAACTTGATTTTACAAATTAACGAAACACTCAAATCATATGTTACCTTTCAACATTTGAATAATATAACAGCAGGAGAGTAATAATGAAATATTTAATATTTCGAAACATATGATACCGAGTAATGATCAGTTTCTAAAGCAGATAAAACTCCAAACATGAAACTTTAGGAGCTGCCCTCCACACCCTATGAAATTAAGTAAGGTTGGGAATTAATCACTTACCTTACATTCTTTTATAATGTCGATCTGCAAATTACGCTGAATCGTCTTATTAACAACTATACTCGCGCATGCAAGCCATCTTGACTTGACATCAACAAACAAATATGGTGAATTGCGCAGCTTTGACTATCGCGAGTCAAAGAGTTTACAAAACTGACTTCTCCATGAAATCTTACTGGGCGGCAGAACGCGCGGGTGAAGGCCAGTCGTCTTGTTTTATATTAAAGCAACTGAATGTAACTACTAATAAGTTACGTCATGACTTAGCACGTTTTTCCCAATGCTATTTGGTTTGTATATATTTGTAATGAAACCTACCTCTTTGTAATCTGAAAATAAACATTTCTGCGGTGCGCAAAAATAATACGGGGTACATCATTAAAAGAATTCAATGTATTTAAACCAATGCAGTTTTACAGCGTTATTAACATTCATTTTTTTTGTTATACTTACACACGCTTGTGGCTGCTGTCAGGTAAAAATTGTACAAACACGCATAGCAAACTTGCAAACTTCCACCCTTCCCTAAATCCCATTATCTTGAATGTGTACGAAGCTCCTCAACGACAAGATAAGAAACATTAAAAAAATCATGCTTAGAACAGATAACATTGCTACCCTACTCTAGAATAACTCATTTGTTACAGTATTCTTTTAATATTTACAAAATGCAGCAGCATCCTTTATGAAAAATTAAACAAAATAGATGAACTGCTAATAATACCCTGACACAAACAAAATACTGTGCAATCATCAAGTAACATGAAAACAAAAGATTAACTTAAGTTGAGAGCTAATTATATTTTTGCTGCACCACACACCACATGCATTAAATACATTTGCAAACTGTGGAAAAAATAATGCAACATTTTGCATTATGAGAATTTTAAACAATAATCACGCTCATAAAACCCAGACAATATACCCACATTTTCACAGCATGTACGGCTCCCATGCATATATGAATCTCCATGTACAATAAAATAATTTTACATAGCATCTGTCAACTAACAATGGGATTTGCACTTTATTTCACTCCACTATCTTCAACAATAGACTTCACAGTACACACTGATGCCTCTTACAACAGTGCAGACACTATCAAATCTTAAAAATGTAGGGCAGGAGGCAATACTATCAATTTGGCAATTGGCAGTATTTAGGAAAGGTGAGGTCAGAGGTCAGTAAGAGTAATTCCATGAATTTCAAAAAAGATTTTTTGGAAGTCGTAAAATATTTTCCATATACAATCCACACTAGATTTCTTGGAATCAAAAAGTTCATGAAATCTTATTAAGTCACCTCTATGTTCTAATGTATTACTCCGTATAAAAACTAAAGGAAAAATATAATCAAGGCCTCAAATTACCATATGAAGTACATTGACATCCAGACATGAAAAGTATAACAATAAGTAATTGCAACAGCAATTAGTATTCTTGTTAATAATACACACAACAGCAAACTATCCTGTTATGAATATTCTATCATAATTTCAGCCTTTTTAAATTCAAATGTCAAACGTATCTACAATAACTGTACACTACATCAGCCAACATTTGCCTCTACACAAACAAATTAAATACATGTAACTGAATCTTCATGAAAAGTATAAAAATGTTCACCAAAGGGATATTATATTCACTAAAAACTTCAACACTGAACAACAGACCTAATTTCCATTCAATATATCGATTTTGTACAGAATCTCTTACACTAATAGCATCCTATACTGGCCTTGTATGAACATTTGGTAATTAAACACTATACACACTGGCCAATGGAAAGTATGTAATAGGATTGTTTCATGTCACTCTCAATTGTCACTAGAAGTTCATGAATGTATTTTTATTTATCATTCCAATCAGTAATAGCAAATGATGCCAACTACAAAATCCAATAGAAAATACAGAAGGAAAGTAATACAAGATTGTATTAAGTGTGTGGCAGGTTAACTCGCTGATGATCGCACTTACAAAATAATACTAGGCTACACATATAATACACATGATGAGATACCTCTCATAATACACTAAGTAGTATGCTACTATTTCAATAAAGTTCTAACATACAATGAGGGTGTGTGAAGCCATTGAGGCAAATACAAAACTCTCTTCTATGTCCCAGAAGAATTTGAAGTTCACAGAGGAGAGAAAAAAAGAAAACTAAACTAGTAAAGATAGTCTTTTTTTTTTAAAAAAAGATTGCCCACAATACATTTTGAGGATGTTTCTAATTAGCTACTTGGCTTGATGGTGAGGTGGAAGTACAAGACGAATCATGAAGAAATACAAATACGTAAATTAGCTCTTTTTCATCTCATTTAATTCTTTGATCAAAACATTCTATACAAGAGAGGGATTAATTATGGCTAACCTTCATTTTACAAATGCATTGCATTTCCCTATACACTTGACTTCAAGCTAACACAAAATACCACAACACACAATTCATGTGCAGAACAACTGGTTACAGAAAAAATAAAAAAGAGACTTTCACGTAACCAAAATGAAATAACACAAAAAAAGCTACAATGAAATAATGTGTCTTCTACAAAAGATAAATCCATCAAGAAATGTTTATGTTTATTGTGAGCGTAATTTTCAGATTTCATATAGCACAATCCGGTGGGCATAATTTGTGCAAATTAAATATTGTAGATTTAAATAGTTTTAAAATAAAAAATAATATAAACAAATTTATATTCATCAACAACACATGATTTGAACAAAGTATGAACCACCATGTACTATGACAAATGGTAAATAATTCACAAAGCACCTGTGAAATTTCCTCCCATCCACCAAGCCTCGTGAAAAAGCCCTGTGGGGGAAGGGTTCAGTTAGGAGCCCAGTAAGATGGGCTATAACCCTGCTTAGCACCCGATTTATTGGGCTGAGTTGATGACTGTGAACGCTGATTTGAGCTACTGCCAGTTTCCTGCAACATGCACAAAGAAGTTCAATGTTACTTCTTATAAACCTTATTTTTATTATTTACATTTTGTGCAACAGAAAACAATGCAGATCTCTATTGATACTCTACTTCTCAAACATTTTGAAACACTAGTTAAACTCAAAATGACAACAGGTTTCACATTTACACTGCATAATTTCACCAGTGACATTTCCACATATATACAAATTTAGCAGCTCAAAAGAAGGAAAAATAAATTTTTTTAGCTAACATGTGCAATGATAAATCACAACACAATGTATGATGCATGTAAATTCAACCTTTTAAATGGATTGTGTATTGGATAATGTATGAACAGGATGCATTAGCTTTCTCAAGTCCCCAGCTACAGAGAGAAGCACCATCCTTAGTGCTGCAAATTCCACCATTTATATCCAGTTGTCAGAAAAATTCAAACAAAATGATAGTGTTGGGTGCCACCAAATTTATCCAAAATCAATATTAAAATGCTAAAAGATCTTTATCAGGCCTCCAATTTCTCCCCTATTACTGAATGCTACCCTGGCTGAGCTGAGCCTGATGAGGATATTAAACAGGCAGTTGTACTACTTTCTGTACCTAGGGACTCTAGCTTTCCCACAAACAAATGTCCCGACTTAAGTTCTTCTCAAAAGTGGCTCTGATGTTTGTTTAGCCTAAAGATAAATTATACAATTTTGGCACTAAAATTATTAACAAAACTGAGGGGCTCAAGATGCTTAAGAACATAAAACTACTTTTAAAAAAAAGAGAGAAAAATTCAAGTGTTCTACACCTATAATATTAATTCAGACAGTATTCAGCCAAAAACTACACAAATCAGATTTATGCAAAATAGTTACATTTACGAATGACACTTCACAATTAACAATAAAATGGTGAGGATTTCTACAGCAGCTGGTCGGTTAAATGGCACCTTTTAATAAATCCCACAGAAAGCTGATGAGCAGAAATTAACCAGTCAGTGTAGTGGCTGTAATAGAAACTTCATGAAATTCTACATGTACATGGTAGATACAGAATTTTGCTAGCATCAGGCTGCAGCCAAACCTGTAAAGTTATACAGTTAGTAGGCAATAAAGACTAAAACTGTTAAATTCCATGCACGAATCTAAAATTTTTATGAAATTGAAATCACCAACAATGTATTTCTACATTACCCTCCCATACCCTAACCAATTCCCCAAAACAATGAAGTTCACCATTTCAAGATGTTTGGTTACAGCTACTCTAGCCTCCAAACTGACGAATCTGCTACAAAGGGTTACAAATTCTTTGAAAGTGCTGTTACTAAAGCTGAGATCACACAAAGAAAAGCCATATTTTTAAGCATAGTAATTAAATATTGCTTACCGAGCGCCTTCCAGGATTCCTCATCTCCATCTACAAACACAGAGAAAAGGAACCAATAGCACACATTTATAAAAAACATGAAACCAAAATGAATCTGATCTGCATGTTTTCTGAGCCATACCATAAAAACATAAGGACTATAAATACCCAATCAATTTGGAACACAGAAGCAATTTTTACCATACTCTTAAATAACACACAAATTGCATGTAACCAAAGAAATTACAATGCTGATGTGTTACATAATGTAGCAAATTGTTTTTGATGAATACTTAATTTTTAACAATTTTGAATTATTTTAGACTTTACACAAATAATTTTAAGTAATTGTATTTTTTTTTACATTTAATTCCTGTCACATAAATTAGCAAATGCACAGTAACATCCACCTAAATATTAAAATTAACAATTTTGTTAATTTAAAATGGTTTTCTTTTGCCCAGATTAAATGTCAATCTCTCCTCAGAAAAAGGATCTATATTACTTTATTATCATCTACCATGAATGAACCAGCATACCTGATGAAGCGGCTGATGCATCAATGTAGTTGAGTGATGCTGCTGATGTGGAGCCATAGTGGGAATAAACAAATGAGGAGCATAAGCCCCACTGGGTGCCATTGGAGTATTTTGGCTTCCTGCTAAATTAAATGGCGGAGGTGTGCCAGAGTGGAATCCTTGTTTTTCATAGGACTGTAATAAAAAGAAAAATATTTTATAGTAAAACTACAGATACAGTTGAATCAGTCCTTTGCCCCACTTATTTCTCAGGATGCACATGCGTGAATACAAATATTATGTTAAAAACAAACAATATGATTTGTCTTCAAGCAGGTAACAGGCTATGAAAACAATCTCATGTTTAGTTGGTGAAAGCAATTAATCATTAAAAGCTACTTACAACAGCTATGGTATAGCAAGATTGGAAAGTAGAATATGTTTAAACTACTCTAAATAGATGTCTTACTCATTGTCTTTGACAATGTATGTATCACTATCGGTAAATTCTTACTTGCACATTAAGCATTCTCAATATATACACCATTTCATGAAAACATTTAAATTTTAATAGATTTTTAAAAAAAATTTCAATATAAATACAGCCACAATTAAATCACTTAGAACTACCAATAACTATTTCCATGAAATAGTACACAAATCAGAATGCCTAACGAAGATAAAGACTCCAGAATTTCTTCATGCAAGAACTGTATTTAAAAATTAAATAATACACAGTAATTACATTAAAAGTTACAATAATTTTAAGACAATGTACTGAAACTACATTCATTATTTCATAAGTATCTCTCAATCAGAGACAATGTCAAAAATTCAGTATTTCAGTACAATACAGCGTCCTTGAGCATGATCTTGAGTTACAACTGTGTTTCACAATGCTGCCACTGTTTAAAACATTCAAACAAAGACTACATATTAAAATAAAGAACAAAAAGTTGAATATTTTAAAATAAACACATGTTACAAATAAACTGGACCAATGATTGGTTTCATTTACACTAAAAGTGTAACACACCGAAAATAAATATAACTGTGTAATGTTAACAAGAACATGTCACCACCAAGATTTATTTTGAAAATACATTTCACATGAAATATCTGAGAATATTCCGTCATAACACTTCCCTAACATTTAATACAATCAGTTCATAGTCACAAACAATATTTTTTAGAAACATTCACAAGAACCAAGACAGTTTAACAATTTGTGAACAAATCAAATGAACAAAAGAAGGTAAGTTCATGAAAATACTTCAAGAAATCACAATATAAGAATGAACTTTTTACATTGTGTAATGACAATTGTAATTCTAACATTCAACCTGTTTATTAAAGAAAAATAAAACAAGAAAAAAAATAAAAAAGCTACTTAAGAACATGAAATTATTCAAGCCCATCTTCACTGAAAACTCACAGAGATGCACCGAAAACTAATTACGTACATTATTACTTCAACACAAAGAAATTACTTACATTAACCTTTCCCAGAGCAACGTGGGATTTTCCATACACAGCACTGAGATCAGAAGCGGATGAACCGGTAGTACCAGCATTAGCCCCCACACCAGCTTTGGTTTGGGATTGACTTCCCGACACATAGCCAGTCTTACTATAGTCTTGATTTTGAGACAGACCATCATATCCAGAGCCATAGCCAGATCCATAACTTCCTGGTTTGGGGTATTGGGTAGTCGTTGTACTGCCATGAGTGTTAGTTGCTGGAGGCATCTGAATAAAAGATTCAACTCTATGCACATTTCCACTACACCTTCATTCTAGCCATTAAAAATAACTAACTGCATATTCTCTTGTATAAAAGGAATGCAACTGGTTGCACCCACTACAAGAAAACAACTTCCAATATCAATTCTTTATTATTCCCAAATATTTTCAACAATGTCATCATTTCTGCTTTTATTCCCTCTAATTTAATTTATTATTCTCAGAATCTAGAACAGTTTTTTCATATCATCTACCATTCCAACATTTCTTGCAGGTAGAGGAAACCATTTGTTAAATCATAAAAAGGAGACTGTGTCTACAACCTTTCTTTCAAAGAAACTACAAGATAAATCGTTATAATTGACTAATTTTGTCATTAAAGAAAACTAAGACACACACATCACAAAAAAGAATGAAAATTAGAAATTTTCTAGTAAATATTTATGTTTCTCTCCAGAAACATGATAACTTTGCAACGAGTTGGAATAATATTGTAATATGGTTTAAAATGTTCAAGATCTGTAAGGAAAAATTTGAATTTAGAATAGTGATTTGGCAAGTTAGAATTGCATTTCTATTTTCTACATCCATGCCTCACTTTTGAAAGCATTAATGAAAGAAAGGTAGTAAAAAGGCTAATGATAATTGAAAAACAATTTTTTTGAGAAAAAGAAAATAAGGAAACTACCTAGTGTACAAGTTAATGGTATGAACACAAAACTGAATAACTTTCTCACTGAAGCAAAATCTTACATTGTGGACAATTTCTCCACATTACCAATGTGCAACAGTCATTGGAAACAAGACAATTTCTTGAAATACAATACTGAATTATCATTAAAAAAGTTCTGTAAATACACAGAACAAATTTTTCCAGTCCTCTTTGACGTGCCTATCTTACTTTTTAAAACAAATTCTCTTATAATACTGAACAACCTCTCAAGCAGACACTTGTTCTTTTGAAAATGAACACACCTTTTATGTTCAAATTGAGATTCCAGTAAAATCCTAAACATGAACACCAGTATAAAATAGTAATCACATAACTAATCCAACTTACAGATAGGTGATTTACTAGAATTTTTACCAGGTATCTAGACTTCACTGACAACAAATAAGCGTAGAATTAAACTTACAGCAAGTGTAAAATGTGCAAAAAATCAGTGAATAACTCAGCAAAATGTAATAAAAGGACATTAGGTATTAAACCATATTAGTTAAAAGTTGCTAATCACTTAATATTCAAAGAGTGTAAGGCCAACAACAACAACAATTCAATAAATAAAATTGTTATAAAAAGAATGAATTATTTTCATTAACTTTAATTTCCAATATTACTACCAAATTGAGAAAAAAATGTTAACATGCTATAAATTTGTAAATATGAGAAGCAGAACTGGAGTAAAATGTGTAAGTGTATAATACAGAAATTTCACATTCATAAAACAATCAGTAGCAACATTCAAACTGGAAATTTCATGCTACAGAGAATGATGTGGATGGTGTTCATGGAAGTAGTGTGGATTTGTTGAGGATTCCATTACAAACGCACTTAAATTGAACCACATATTCAAGAGAAAGTGTAAAAAGGTGAAGAAAAAGAAGACAGACATTGCAAGTATCCTGACACAGAAGGTTTTCGAGGGAAAAAAAAAGCAAGCAATCACGAATACATAATACAAATCTATGAGATGTACCAAAAATTATATGTATTACATATTAAATATTTATATTACAACAGACACAACATTTAAACCCAACACAGAGCTCTCTAAAATTCAACATCATTGCCATCATCATCAGAAATGGACTAAAATAATGATTAAAAGAAATCATTCAAATTATGAATCAAATCAAAGACATGTTACTCTTCACAAATACACAAAATACTCCTTGTCATCAAAAATTTGTATTTAAAACTCCCTAGTAATATAGCAAACTTGTACAAATTTAAATTAATTTACCAATCTAGATGAAATTTCTTAGTATGTACTGGCAACAAAGAAAGAATTCTTGTAGGAACTTCAAAGCTAAGTGGAAAAACATGTACAAAATTACATTTCTCTCCCCCCCCCCCAGTAATTTCTTCTTGTTTATGGCATATTTCCTTACAGCAAAAAGGCGGCAATCAAGAAGTACTGTGCATCCTTGTATTGCAAAAATATTAATAAAAATAGGTAGAAAACCTTTCCATTTCATATTTCCTTGACTATGTCACACTAAGGTCCCTATGTTGTAATCCTAGAAACTATTTTTTCTTTGTGTTCTTCACTTTTCTAATTCAACTGCAGCTTTTGATCTTCATGCCAGAAATCCCCTCCAATTGTGATGTTCATGTCCATTAAAGAGCTTTCCAGGTGCCTGAATTCACTGCATTAGTCACAGCTATTTCTGGCCATTATAAATTCACCATTGAATAAAAAGAATTTTAGAATAATATTTAAGACTGTATTTGCCAGAGAAAATACATACTATTCTAAAGAAAACTTATTTTCAAAACTAATTTACGAAGAGCTAGGATCATGAGGACAAGTATGTAGCCACTCCACAGGAGTACTTCAAAGAATGATAAATGTTTTGCACTTTCATAATCTCTTGTTTACTTCGAAGTACATGGATGAAAACAAATGGAAAATATGTAATAAATGGATTTCCAAACATGCCATTTAAGCAGTACTCAAAGAAACTTCACAAAATTAATTTATTAAAAAATGTAACCTATTGAAATACAGAAGCATTTTCAGATTCTAACAATTAACAATTACAGAATCAAAGAAATATGTAATTTTTTCAATCACTGCACATAACAGAACAAACCTTTACTGTGTTCTTTAAGTTTTCAATAAAATAAAAAATTAAAACAAACAAAATGATGAGGTTGTCTACTCAAGAAAGTATCCACCTACTTTACAGAAATAACCTTTTTTAAGCCTGACATAAAAAAAGAGCAAATTTTAATTGACCCTTTTGGGCCCAACATAAAAAAGCAAATTTCAATTGACTGGGACAACACATGAGCAAACCAGTGTACTTCAGTACCTTTCCTTTTAGTATCTGGGAAGAGAGATTTGTGATTAGCTCATTCCCACCCTTCTCCACGTCTTCTCTCCCATTTGAAACACTCAGCATAGTGCTTGCGAAACACTATCGACTGTAAACACCAATACTTCTCATGTTTCACAAGCATGATGTCGAAAGAAAGGGATTATTTGAAAACTTGTTTCCTGCTATTGGAATTAACTGTCACAATCTTAAACATTGTGTTATTATGACTTATTTTCTCTTTTAAAAATCCACTGATTTGTGAAGTGTTTTTTAAATTTTTTAAAATTTACTTCATTTGTTTGGATTTGTGTGACCTGTTGGAGTGAGTTGCAAAATGTTGATTTAGATTTATTTCAGTTAGAAGTTTCATTTATGAAAATATGATTTTAAACATTCATTAAATGTCCAATTTCATGAAAATATTCAATATATAAACCATATTTTCTACGTTAACACAAAGATGTTCTAAGTTACCTACCTACCCCCCCCTCTCTCTTTTTCCCCCTTGATCCTATGATCATACTTTTTTTATTAACTTCCTTTCTAAATTTATGTAATAATTTTGAAGATTGAAGGTTAAAGTTGGGCGGTGTTTAAGATTGTTAAGAAAAAAACTGTTACAAGACTTAGAAGAGAGTACTTTTGGTTTTTCAAAGAAAATATATTTTTAACAAGGAGTTGTTGGACCCCAAGGGTAAGAAGAACTGTAGTAATATGTCATACAGAAAAGAAACTAGAGGAAAATATATACCCAAAATGAAAGTAAGAAAAAGGAAAGGAATGACTCTCAAAGAACACATTTCACATAATCAAGTAAACTTGGCATTATTTAGATAAACAATTAGCACAATTTCACAAAAACATATTAAAAAATTGACCAGACTGGAACACCAGCATCCTAAACAAGAGAGAATCAGGTGCAGTCTACTTATTAGAAAAATTGGATAAAGAATCAATTTTAGGGTGATTTATTTTCAAGCCATCTGTTTTGCTATCTACAAATTTAATTGCACTAAAAGGTATTCTTACCGCGAGAGTTTTCATGGTTTTGGCATTTTTTCGTAACAGCTTTTTCTTTCTTTCATCAAAACTAATAAAAAAAAAGGGTGCAATGACTATCAAATAATCCTTACAAACCACTGAACACAAAACACACCATAAATCAAATTGTTAATTCCAAAACTGGACTAAATCAAATTACCATTTGTGTTCACTAATACAAAGTCATTTTAATAGTTCAAATAAATTTTAAGCATTAAGTTAAGAATAGAAAATATGTATGAGGTAAAACTAACCCAATGGATAAAATCACAACCAAAAGAATCTTCTGCAACTGAACAGTGATTACTCATAGAACTGCACATAAATTTTTAGAAATTTATCATCACCAAAGTTTTATCAGATCACTTGTCATGACTATGGATGCAATTTATATTGTAAAAAACAATTTTAATGGCTACAGTAATAAATGATCACAACTCTCTTGATAATTTACGTTTGACATAATACACAATATTCCAGCATGTTCATAAAAATTAAAGTAATTAAGGAAATCATTCATTTAGGAAGCAAGTTCCGGTTTAAAAAAGTCATTTATTGTTCTACAAATCATCATACACTGTCAAAACTGAAAAGAAAACAACTTGTTTTTGTAAACAAGAGCTACATAATTTTATTAACTTTATTATTTCTACACATCTGTGCTCCCGGAATGAGAAATTTTCAATTCAACACTTTACTTACAGGATAAATTGCAGGAGTCCCATATTGGAACCCACCAGGCATCATTCCTCCCCCATAAAAGTACGCATAACCAGGTGGCAGAGCAGTTGGATTCAACATTGGCTGTTGATGGGCTTGTGTGGCATTCTACAAAATATCAAGAATTCATCATGTAAGATTACACATCACATCTGAAAAATTATAAAGATATCTACATAAAAACACGATAGAATTTTAATGCTAATATCTTCGAAGCTATATCCTGTTTAAATTCATGTAGTGCACTCAAAGCAAATCATAAACCTATCTCTGCACAAGTTCTCCACGTAAATGAGGAACCCAAAATCAATTATTGATCATAGGTTTAATAAAGTAGACCTCAGTATATTAAAAGTATTCAGATGAGTTTTTTTTTCTTCTTTTGAAAATTATATTTTTAAATATTGCTTAACTTCAAAAATGTGACTATGTAACCTACTCTTGGAAATCTATTCCAGTGGCATGTGACTTGGCAACTGCATGAAGTATATTTCACATTCATTTGAATGTTGATGACACTGGTAGCGTGCATTACATTCCCTCAGGTTTCAAGATGAGGAAATGTGGCCATTTCAATTTGAGACATTGCTCATTCTGTTCTTTGGCAGTAATATATTCTTGTTTCTTTCATGGCTATAAGCAGAGCATGGAAGTTTGGCAACATGCCTTTTTGTTTTTGTTACTATTTCATGATTTTTTAACAATAGGAATCACTTAATTGCTCTTGAGTTGTTTTAGTTGATTTTCATTGTTATGTGCCTTTTTGAACCCCATACTGTAGGAAGGATAAATATCTTTTAGCTTATCTATTTTAATAAAAGTAAACGACAAAGGATCAATGATTCTTATACCTGAACGTTATGTACTTTTTCTTTTCTTTTTTGGGGGGAGGGGGGAGGGGGGTTCTGGGATATATTTATATATTTTCGAAAGTTGTTTTCACATCTTTCCAGTTTCCCAACAGATACACATTAATAATAATAATAAAAAACTTTTAATGGTTAAATAAATTAATTTTTTTCCATTTTTCTCTATCATATCTTTCATCTTTGTATATTCCTTTCCTTTGTAATGCATTTATAATTTATTTCCATGATACAGGTGGTCTTCTTTGTTTTCGTTTTCCAAATGGTTCCCAATATAATACAAAATTAGATAATCTCCATTCTTCCATCCTTAAATGTTCCAACAAGTAACTCATTTTTTATTTATATAATGTATTATACAATTTGATACATTCATATCTTTTTAAAATTTCATTTGTAACTTTGTCCCTTCTTGAAATTCTTGCAGTCCTTTTCCAATAATCCATTTCCACTGCCAATAATTTCCCTATTTACTGTGAATTTGAGATCATTAATTATTCTAATCAAAAAATCAAGGTACTTTTAATTATTGTTTTAAATATTTTAATATTGGTCCCTTTTGTGATATCTTTATCCCATAAAAACTATTTAAAATCGAAACCTTAATTTTTCCTACATTTATTTTGGACTGAATTTCTTTAAATTGTTTTCCATCATTTGTGATTTTAATTCCCAAATACTTGTATTAATTTGTGTGAATAATTTTTTGCAAGTTTTCTTCTAAAACCAAATCTTTATTGTCTCCAATTACCATATTTAGTTTTTCCCCCCTTTATCTTATTTCCTTCAACTTGTTGTATCTTCAATTGACGCAACGTGTCTCCAAGCCCCTTGGAGAGCGTTGAAAGCTTTATGCTTCTGGAATAATCCTCCATTAACAATAGCACGCGAGTAATCCTCCATTATTTATTAACATTGTCATATCTGTCATGTCTCATTGCAGTTGTCAAGAGGACCACCAGGTAGCATCTCTATGTACGTGCCTCCTATCATGTGCTCTTGTGTCATTACTTAGGAATTAGGTTGATAGTGGTAGGGTTAGGACACTTCACAGATGTTCGAGATCTACTTGCTTTAAATCCTGCCTGTTTGCACCCCTATAATCATTTTCCAAAAAATACTTAATTATTTTTCCATTTATTTTATCTTTATTATTATTATTATTATTATTATTATTATTATTATTATTATTATTATTATTAGCCTACAACATTCCATGAAGGGCAAAGGCCTCCTGCTTTAGCAGGGTTACATGAAGATGATATTTGTAAAATCATTTTTTTGCTGTTCATATCCCAGTTGTCTTCTCTATTGGGCCAATCCCCAGGAAGGGGCCAGCTACCTTGCTTAGCTCGTCTGCCCTTCTTCTTCTGTCTCCCTTGGTTCCTCCAGCAATACCAAGGGTCCCAAGTTGTTGTAGTGTACACCCATCACTTTTGGTCCTATCTCATGATGTGTCGTCCTCAATGCCATTTACTCACTTGACTTGCTGTACTTCTTCCTTGATTTTGGTCTTTTTCCTCATTTCTGTATGTGGTATTTTGTCTAAGAGCAAAATGTTTAACATCTTATGCTCCGCTTTCCTCTGGCATTGTTGTATACATTATATTTGCGCTACTGTTAATGACCATGTTTGTGATCCATAAATCAATTCAGGCAAGATGCACACATTAATTAATACCTTTTTGATTTCAAGGTTTATCTTTTTATTTAGTAGTATGAAGGAGAGGCTCAGATTTTTTCTAAGAAACAGATAATCCTAGTTCACCCCACAAATTTGATTGTGCAAAAAGGCAATTCATGTTTTTTTTGAAACAGTGGTCTTTACTTCTTATTTACTATAAACTATTTGAAGTGGAGTTACAATTTATCTCTCAAGTACTATATACACACACACACAGCAAACAAGAATGAAGTAGTACAATAAAAAATAATGTCAGTGCATCAGAATGAAATTTCAGTATTCTTCTCCAATAACTAACCTGTTGAGATAATGTTGATGGCACAGGGGATGCATTGTTGTCAGCACGTGTATACCGCCCATCAGACATGGAGTACGCAACACTAGCCAAGCCACCTTCTCTCCCAGTAGCTAAGCTAGTAGGAGCTTGAAATCCCATGTCGTAATACCCTGTTGCCTACAAAGACAACAAATGTCAGCAACACTGAAGTCATGAAATTTTAAGGAATTCAAACAAAGTAAACAAATACTTTACAGCTGTTACCATATGAGGAATCCTCTGCTGAAGTAGTTGGAGATCTTCATAACTGTACATTGGCTGTTGGAAATACGGCAAACCACCCTGACTCATTATATACTGTGTTCCCAACATTGGAGGAACACCAGGAGGAATATTGGGAATCACACCACTCTTTCCTGAAATGAATAATTTAACATAAAGCTAAATTGACTGATCAGTAGGAAAGATAAGTGGCAACTTGAAAAGGAGTTTGCCTAGCACCTGATACACGTGACAGATGAGGAAGTGACAAAGTCATGTGTTACGATTATGAATGATTTAAAGACAAGAAAAATGTTCAGTGCAGGCATATCACATTCTCGATCAACAAGACCAATTTTCTAGTCTCAGGTGGGTGCAGACTTATTATGGCCTCAGAGGGCACAAGCTAAAATTTAGTGCGAGCAGATTTTTCATTCTCACCAATCCAGCATCCGACTTTGTGATTTAACTACACTTTCGCAACCACAATGAATACAGCACGGGTCAGAGCTGGCATGACAGCTAGCCAATTGGACAATTGACAGCATGAGAGCTGCCAATTGACAATTATTAATAATTGAAAAATAGATAGCCCAACTAAATCAGGGCACATTCTCAGTATTTCGTCTTTAAGGTTAAAGCGAATTCTAAGTTTTCCTCAAAAGGGATTTGTGAATTTATTTGGGGACTGTGGAAGGAATCAGTGGGAGAAGGGTCCATGTCACACAACTTGTTTGACAGTACAAATAGCAAAATTATTACAGGTAAGATTATTGATATTTATTTCTAAACCTTCTCCCCTAGAACTGAAAGGTGTCATTATTATAATTAAAATAGTTATTGGTATAGTTATTACCATTAAAATTATGAATTATCATTAGTTATGCATTAATAGTAATAAATCCAATTTTCTTTATTCAACTTTCTGTATATTTACAGGTCGGTTGAATCAATTATCAACAAATATAAAAAACAGGCTCTGACCACACCTAAAGAAATCTATCCAGTTACAGACATTGACAATATGACATAAGATGAAACTTCAATTGCATTATATTGTAGTTTGGTTCAGATAATCATTTAGAATATTTAATTAGTTCGTTACTTTAGAATTTCATTAATCTACATTATGATCAATTTGTTTTAAAGGGTTTTATGTGAAGTACTCTAAATTATGATTTTATATTCTAGGTATTTCTATATGAAACCAGTTTTTCGGAGATTGCAGGTTATGAAGCATTAAATTTTCAAGACATTCAGATCTCTGAGACTTGTAACTTAGTTTTAGGCAAGTGGTACCACACATCTCTCCCCAAATCCCACATGCATTTCAAAATTCTCATTGACATAACACTCATTACAATAACCATTGTCATACCTAGAACTTTTTCACAAATCTCACCAGAACTGCAAGAGTTTGTTTAACTGGTTTAATACATACAGTACAACCTTCTTTTACGTTCCTGGAATTAACGTTTTCCCACAGTTAACACCAATTTTTCCCAATCCCTTCAAATTTCTTATGTTCGTACTGTTAAATTATCCCCGCTTTTACACTTTGAAAATTAAATTTTCCCTATATTTAGCATTTTAAATTCATTACAGATTTGTGAATGCTATTTTCAGCAAGATATTTTTGCTTTCCTTGGCAAGTATTCTATCTTGCATCTAGATTTATATAGTTGGCTACAAATTCTGAAATTTAATTGGTAATTTTGAAATGTTAACTTTCACAATTTTCGAAAATATGCCAAGTTTATATATTTTCGAGTTCAAACTATGGGGTTAGTGGGCTATTTTCGATTTCGCCGAAAATGAGACTAGCGCCGAATTTTTTACCGTTTTTTGATAGTGCATGGAGACACTTCAAAAAAACTTGTTTTAGAGAAAAAAAGTTTTAAAATGTTTAAATTGCTTGTAAGTCGTGCAAAATTACGCGAAAAGTATTCATATTTCCGAAAAATTGTACATGGCCTTATTAGAAATTAAGGAAAAATATCTTTATCGCTAATATTATAGTAGTAAGAAGACGCCCAGAAAATTATACTTTTGCAATTTTCGATAGATTTGGGTTTCAACGAAAATGAGATCTTCACAATTCTGTTAAGCGTCATTTAGACTATTCGAGCACAACGTTTTATATTAAACTTTGGGGCCATTTTTTAGAAAATTTTGAGTACGTTTAAAGCTTCATGTATGAAGTATCCTCAAAAATCAAAATATCAATTTGAAACTCGTAAAGCCTCAATTTCATTCAGATAGACTGGGGGAATATCAAGTTTAGAGAAAATCGACTGAACTGTCGGCTGGCATTGACCACGGTCGGATATACACGTTTTTCCGTAAATCGATTTTTCGGTATCAATAAACAAGAAACATGGACTCTTGGTACACCACGTGTTAGAGGAAGTAATTTACTGTATATATCAACGGGATTTATCCATATTCTCGTTACGATAGCCCGGCAATAAAAGTTTTGCTGCCGAAAATTCGCTATTTTTCGATGCACGATAACCCAACTTTCTCTTCCTATTTTTAGTGCGAAAAGAAAAAACAGAATTCTTGATTTTTACAGTGGAGAATATTTACTCAAAGTGGATTAAAAATTTTGAGTATTTTATTACACGTGCAATGGGGTTTCTCCCCGTTTACACTTTTCGGCGATTTTACACTATTTCTTTGTCTCTTGAAAAGTGTAAAAGAGGGGTTCTGCTCTTTTGTACTGCTTGGATGTCTGTTGAGACATTTGTAATGGAAACTTAAGTATATATGATCATTCCCATTTGAATTATATTATTCAAAGTAAAATTCAATGAATTGTATTTTCACATTACCATCTGTGCTTGGTTTAATGAGCAGTTTTCATGAATTGTATTTTCACAACACCCTCTCATTAACATGTCAATGAGAGGGTTTACTATGAAATTTCTGCATGATCAAGGGGAGTTTTATAGTATTGTATCAATAATAACATAGTAGAAGAGTACAATATCATTGTGCAACTTTATACATTTACTGTGCCAGTTATATCGACAGAGAACACTTCGTATTTTTATAAACACATTTGAAAAAATTAAAAAGTTTTATTTACTACCACAAGCATCCCTATAAAATGTATCACATTCCATTTTAATGTAGTAATAGGTACGAAAAGAGAAAGTCTATCATCTGCGTAGAAACAGGCAAATTAATTAAGAATTTCTTATTTTAATCGCATTACTTACACTTGAAGATAATGAAATCAAAAACAGATAATAAATGGATGTTTAACATTAATATTTCTGACTGTTAGAAAAACAATTCATTAGGGCATATAAAAATTCCTTACATATAGAATGAAGAATCTTAAAATAATTTCGTGTTTTTTAGAATATATTTCATTACACGTCGGCTGCTGTGAGAAGCATAATGTGATATTGAATTGATCGTGAGGCTTTGAGCAACGACAGTTGATTTTCAGACACCATGAGTTAGCACTAGTTCGGCCAGAAGATTCGTCATTATCTAGATTATTCGGGCATCCAGTGTGCCAACAGATGAAACCATGAATATATGGATAATACTACTATCTCAAAAGCATTATTAACACAAAAGTTAGACCACAGATAACTTTTAATATTGTTTTGCATTTGCTCTTTATGCACTTAAATCACTCACACTTGCATTCATTGCTGATGATAACTCTTAATTAGCTGAATTGTTCACAGAGTTAATATTTGAATATAGAAGAAACTCTTGTTTAATTGTAAAGAAAAACCAGACATTCATTATTGTACTGTGACATCTTCAATTGTGCGAGGACTGAATGAAAACAAACAACACTAAAGCGAGATAGTTGATTGGAATGATAGTTTCATACATTGGCTATATCGAGAGGAAATCCTTTTAGCTGCCATATTGCGAATTTCATGTGGCCAAATACAGGCCTGGACTATAGTGGTAGGAGTAGAGTTTGGGGATGGGGAAGTTATTTTTTTGTTAACAATACAAAAATTAAATCTGCAGTTTATTTACTCATGCAAATACATTTTTTATAGCTTAGGAGAGAAAGGACTGGTTTTAAAAGTTGCTAACTTTGCTTCTTTTGAAACTTTTATTCATCATTCAACTATTTATAGTTAAATGTTTGGAAGAGATTCTGGTCCTCATTAAACCATGCACAGATGGTACTTCTGCCCCAAATATCACATACAGTTTCTGCTGTTCTATGACTAAATAAACCGAAACTAACATTGGTTTGAGTGGAGCATGAAAGTGAAAAATATGAGTTTTTGTTTTGCTCATAATATTCAATTTCAGTTATGCGTTTTTCTTACTTATTCTCCCCCCCCCCCTTCAGTCTCATAGAAAATGTGTAAGTGATGTTTTACTGTAATTATTATGCCATGTTACATTGAGAGAAACGAAATAGAAAGAGGTAAGTTAAGTCTAGTAAGAAATCTATGGGGTAAGCAGACTTACAAGTGAGGAGAGAAGCTAGTGTTCTTGAAACAAGATCAGAAAATAATTATAGTAAAAAATTGAACAGAAAGGATGATAGACAAAGATTCTTTAATAAGGGGGTACTCGGCAGAGAGAGGGAGACGAGGAGGGAGACAGAGAGGGATGAGAGAGGAGGCAGAGGGAGTAAGAGAGGGAGGAGGAGGGAGGAGACGAGAGGGAGAGAGGGGGAGAGGGAGGAGAGAGAGGGGGAGACGGAGAGAGAGGGGAGATGGGAGGAGGAAGGTGAGGAAGAGAGAGGGAGAGAGAGGGGGAGCGACGAGAGGGAAAGAGAGAGGGGAGAGGGAGACGGAGAGGGAAGAGAGGAGAGGGGAGAAGGTAAGAGCCGGGGAGAGAGACGAAGAGGAAGAGAGAGGGGAGGGAGACGGAGGAAGGAGAGGAAGGAGACGAAGGGGCAGAGGGAGGACGAGAGGGAAAAAGAGGGGGGAGAGGGAGACGAGAGGGAAAAAGAGGGGCGAGAGGGAGAGGAGAGGAAAAAGAGGGGAGAGGAGAGGAGAGGGAAAAAGAGGGGGAGAGGGAGACGAGAGAGAGGTTAAGTTAAAGATTCAGTTTATGAAGTTATTTAGTAAAAGAAAGATCAAAATTTTATTTATCAAAAAAGAAAGATCTTTTATATTTTAAGGTAAGTGTAAAGGAAATCCAAGGCACAGCGATATATTGATTTTACATTAGGAAGGAGTGGGTATAACTGAATGAAACGAAGGAAGGATGAAAGCAGAACGGAGTACGATAACGATAAATAGAATGAAGTTCAACATTTAAAAGTGGATAATAGTCTAGAACAATTGATCAAGAATGAAGAATTGGAACTTAAAGAGTAAGGTAATTGTTATGATTGAAGATCTCAAGATTTCAAGAAACAATCCAAAAGAAAATGTAAATAAAAAAGTATATTCAAATATTTCTTATTGGCTACGTATAAAATTTGTTATTGTAAAAAGACGAAAGAATATGAAAAGAAATAAGTTTGTTGAACTTTTAGGGAAGGATGACCAAAAGTCATATGTACAAATTTGTAATCAAAGATTTTCAATTGGGAAAAATATACAAATCTAAAGATACACAAAAGTATTGACAAAGCTGAGAAAAGGAATGGATGAGTGGACCCTACTAACCCAAAGTGGGGTAAGTTGTAACAAGAACTACTTACCATTAATATTTATTTTATAATATATTATTTGAAATTGTAAAATCAATAAACCATTTACTGTTGGGTAAGGGTTAATAATTTGTAGACATATGTCTATTAGAGCCGGTGAATGAACGTTACGAATTCAGTTACGAACACTGAACGAACTCAGGATAAATATAATCATGCTGTTAGCTCTTAAATCAGTAGTATGAATAAGAGATTAATATTAACTGAGAGATGATGAGGTATGAAGTTATCCTGTGATTACGCACATAGCTCACGTGTGGTTAACAGCGCGTTAACTTTTACGTCGCATAAAAAAAACAACTTAAAATCTTAAACTTCCAACTTGGCTCTGTTGGATCACCATGAGCCCATGTTAAATTTACAGGCTTCTTACTTGAAAACTAGATAGATTCAAACTGGCATTAATTTAAACTCTACCAGAACATAGGAGACCTCTCTCTTTCAATTAGTACAATAAAAAAATGGATGATAAACATAACGCATATCTAGTTCTAACCACCTTAAATAAACAAAACACGTCAGAGAAAATAAAGTTTTTGCTTCAACAGACAGACAATATTCAGTTTTGCCTAAAATCTTCATTCCACATAATCGATGGTTATATATCACAAGTGAAGTAAAGTGTTGTACAAATGGTCACCCAGGGTTAAGTAATACTCAAGGGTTAATGAACAGTTTTATCCTTCATTTATACAACTGGCCCTAAATGAAGCAAATCCTTTACGAGACTGGGATATGGGTGGGAGATACTTCTGAAAGATCACTCAAAATGAAAATAAAACAATACTAACCAGTTGAGCTCGTGACTTTGGTTGATGTTGTATTCACAGTCTGACTACTGCTTGCTGCTGCCAGTCCTAATGAAGGTGTTGCATTTACAGTAGACAGGCCACTATTTGTTGTAGTCGCATTTGTGCTTGTTAAATTGGAACTAACAGTTGTTGTAGTATCATACTAAAAAGACAAAATTTAAAAAAATGACAACTCATCATTCATATTAACTTTATTCTAGCCTAACCTAGTGCTAGTGATGGTATTAGGTATTATATTTGCGTTATGTGGGTTATATAATAAAAACAACTTTTAAATATTACACAATTGTCTGGTCCATCCATCTTAAGGCATAGCAAGTTACAAGAAAAAATTTCAAAAATACTATTTGTTTCATGACAAAATTAGGTTTAATTATTGTTACTCTGATGAATTTAGTCCTAACGATTCATGTTATGCCACAAACTAAGTACAGTAGTTCACAGTATCTCACCACTGTAGGTATCTTGAGTCTTCTAAAACGATTTTCTAGTATTCTAGAAAGATCCAGATACAACTTTAACCAAATAATTAATCTTGCCAAGAATTATTATTAGGGCAAGAAGGCATTAAACAAACTACTGATCACATATGCAGGAGCCATAAAACTCCACAAAATGCATTTTAACAAAATATGGGAAATGCCTGGTATCAAAAAATATATTTTGCTAAAGATTGTATTGATCTCATAGCGATCATCCTCAGAGCTAAAATTAAAATTACATAACACATGCATTATGAAAATGAAGTATAAGTTATTACAATTATTATTTATATTATTATATACATTATAATTTTTATATACAATTATTATTATGATGTTTAGAAAAATAAATGTTTCGATACCAGACATCTTTATTTTACCGTATTTGATTATTAGAATGTGTGTAGCTCACCAACAATCTAATTAATGCATTTTAGCTGTTTAATCCCCCTTCCAAAACATTTTAAGTGCTAATCCGCCACACACAAAAAAAAAAGAAAACTTAACACTAATTTTTTTAGTATATGGAATATAGTTTTGATATATGAAATACTGATATTTTGATATAGTTGAAATATAGTTTTAGCATATGGAAAGATATGCCTCACCAGCACACCGAGACAAGCACTACACGTAGGACATCTTCATACACGTACCTGTGGTTCTTTGGTTCCTGTGCTCAAAGCTGAGCTCAACTTTGTGTGATTCTGTGCAGTTGTAGCAACATTGGCTCCATAGTTGTTCTGATACTGTGCTGTAGCAGCTGAGACCGCATAAGCTGTACTACTGCCAAGAGTTGAGGCACCATATACAGATTGACCAGTGGTTTGATAAGCAGGGCTAGCACTAGGAAAGGAATTGGTAGACTGCGTAATGGAAGGATACGATGTAGGACCGGTTTGGTATGTGACACCAGCAGCTGATGCCTGGGAGTAAGAACTATTAGGATAAGAACTTGGAGCAGCAGTTTGACTGCTATAACTTGCACCTGTTCCGCTTGAAGTAAAGCTCATTTGTGACTGGTTAGTTTGGTATGTTGGTGCTGATGTAGTAACCTTCATGGAGAAAGTTATAAAAATATAATTAGGAATGCTATATTTATATTTCAAAAACATTTGTTTAAACATAAAAATTAACATTCACACCCATTTCATAATGAAACAAAACAGAAACAAACCAAGAACATTACAATGTTTTATAAACAAGATAATTCAAAATTCATTCTCCCTAAGGGGTCGTGCATAAATTACATCACGTATAAGAGGAGGGAATTTGAAGCTGCATAACATAGGGATAAGGAGTTAATAGTTTAGTGTTATGTAATGTGGAATTTCTTTTTCAAACTTTTCAACATTTGCTGAAAAAATTTCTTTTATTCAGACTTGTACTAAACATATGAAATTAAGAAGATAATTTTAAAATAGTAGTGATGCATAAACTGTTACAATAAAAGTAGATATTTTTTTAGCAATGATATATTGATTGAATTTGTGAGACTACAAATAAAATATTCACAACCGATCTATAGTATATTATAGAATTAATTTAAGTAGTGCAGGATACATGGAACCTATGCATCATCTGTGTGCATGTCTTGTAAGAAATTGTTTGCCTTTGGGCCCATCATTAAAAAATTGTCCTCAATGTACTGTCCACATTGCCAACTATTTCTAACTTTAATTATCATATATTTTGTATACCACAAATACAATGAATACAATTCATTTACTCATGACAGGGAGGGTTCATAAGCATCCACTGAGTAGATATTACTTAAATAAAAATTCACAAGTGCAAGTGGAGATTTGTTGTCTTCAACACTGTGTACAGGTTCAATTTAATATGACAGCAAGTAAATGAACATAAGTAAATCTGAGACAAACCTTAGTTTAAACCATGGTCTACTGAATTCATTATGAAACACTTCACTAAACAAAACCCATACAAAGTCAACAAATTTAACTAATGTATTGCTATTGAGTCACCAGAACATTAGAAATATGTTTGGTCCCTAAAAGACTCCCCTCAAGAGGAATTGGTCAAATTTACTGTGATTGGCATCTAAACCCTTGATGCGAAAATGAAAAATTAAATTTAGATCGCACTAACTGAATATGTCCGTAAATTGCATAACACTAAAAGGGAGGACTGACACTGCATTACATAGAGTCATAGGGGAAGAGAGGAGTTAGATTAGAGCAATATAATTCTGATTCCCAGCCCCGACCTTTGATGAAATACTGCATTTACCTGAATACAAGAAATTATTTTTTAGATATCTCAGTAGATAAATGTGGAGTTGTCTAATATTCGAAGATTACGCTTGATTGATTAGGGCCGAAGTTTTTTATTTTGCCATTCCATGGCATGAAACCCATACATGTAGACGTAGGTAACAAAGAACAGCAAAGATTTTTAATTTATTTCAAAATATACAGACTCATGTCCATTATTTAACAATAAGATTACAAAGAAATAGTAGACAGCAGGTAAATGAATTCGCTGATATAATTACACATTCTACTTATCAGGAATTTTTCTGTACATGCTTGTGAATTTTACTCACAAATGTGGTGTTTCATCCTGATGACTGTAATGGAACTCGGAAATCCAACGGATTTAAAAGAATTGAGCAACCAATCATACGATTTAGAAGTTAAAATAAAAATCATACATCATTTAAATTTGCAAGAGTTCTAAGGGAAGGTAAACATAGTTTAGCTGCTAGATATCTATAATCATGATCAATAAATGGATCAGACAATCCAAGTCATGAGGCGGTAATTACATAAAACTTATGTTGAACAGTTTCTAATCTAGCTATGTGGGATTGAAACAGGAAGCCAGACTGGACGAGAACATCAATATTGGCCTCACAAATCATAAAATATCATCATTGGTTTTCAAAGTATCAATTGACATGCGACCTAAGCATGTTTTTCTAATAAAAACACACATTTCATCAAGAGTGAATGTGACATGACCGACAAAGGACATTTTGGAATCAAAAATTACCCCATGATCATGGATGACTAAAATATGCTCCAAGTTACCAAATTAATTGAATGAACAAAACCAATTACAAGATTAGATAATGAAATGTGATAAATTTGCATTTACCCGGGTTCAATATAAGATCATTTTGACTACATAAATTATGAACAAAAACAGACCCAGTGAAAGCCCAGATGAAACCAGACAAAACAGTGATAGCATTTGACAAAGCATTATTTATTTTGACCTTCAGCATTCTATTTTTGAGAATTATAGAACCACTGCAAAAGACTGCATGTAATACCAAAGGATTTAAGTTTCTAAAGAAGTGTATGAGTGACAGAGTCAAATGCCTTGCTGAAGTCTGTATAAATACCATGCAGGTCTTTTATCAATAAGAGAATGCAATATATACTGAATGTAATACATTAGGTTGGTATCAATACAATGGTTATTCATAAAACTAAATTATCAAAAAGAAATCGATAAATCAGCTTTTTCAACTTACCTATAATTAAAGACTAAGAGTTTTGGTATTACACTGAATATGATTGAAATTGGACGATAGTTCTTGATGTTCTTATCAACAGTTTTAAAGATAGATAAGATGAATGACAATATCCGCGGGAAATTGACCTTCAAAAAGGGAATTAACAAAGGGAGCCGAGTATCTGAGAAAAATAAATCTAGGTTTTCTATCATTAACGTAGGTTCTCCATCTGGTCCAATGCTGCCATTATCCTTACGATAACTGATTATATGAAGAATGTCAAATAGTGAAATAACGTGCTCAGATTGAATGGAGATTGTTCAATCAAATCAAAAGAATGGCCTAAGATATATGAAGATCTGCAGAAACAATTAGTACTAAAAGCATTTGCTATTGATTGAGCATCATTGTAGGATTCATTGTTTAAATATAATATATTAGATAAAATATTCATATTCTTTGCAGAATTTACATATGTCCAAAAATTTTTTGGACTAGATGTTATAGATCATTCAATGTTTTTACTACGAAATTCAATACTCTGTTAGCCGACTTTTTAACATTTTTTCTCAGGTCAGGTAATAAAAATAGATCAAATCATATTTACTTTGTTTATATCTAAAAAGGGCTTTCTTCTTCAAAAAAATTGATGTTCTCTTCTGTACCACGATCGAAACTTGAATTTCCATTTATCTCTCATTTGTACATACTGATCCATACAGTAATAAAGGTTATAATAAAAAATAGATGTTAACTCAGAACTAATGAAATCTAAGTTGAACAAGACATCAGAGTTCAATTTACATAAAAAATACAAAGAAGGTAAATATATCGTGTGAATCTATAATACATTATTATATTCGTGGCACCCACTGCAAATTTGTCGGGCAATTCATGCTGATAGTTTAAAAAGACCAATAAGTAGAAAGAGAATCTCAAACAAATAGAACTGTATCAAATAAAACATAATGTGAAAATTAATACAGAGATTTTGTTACACGATGTGGGTTCGACAAGGTCGCGCGGGCTCTCAGAGCAATACAGTGAGTGCGAATCTGTTTTGGCCTGTTCAAGAAAGAGGCCATCAACAAGTGCGTGACAGATACAAGGGAATGTTTTTAGGCAGTATCCAATGAAAGACAGACTAGTACAAATTCAATGTGCAAAACTTTGGGAGGGGCCTAAAATGCCAGAAGATGTCCCAGCATGGAATGACGAACAAAAATAAAGAAATATTAATACATGTGAAGAACTTGACGGTATTGACAAAAACCATGGTGATTTTAAGAAACAAGAAAATGATCCAACAGCAATACGCCTTAACATTCTCATCAACAAATTTTCTAGTCAATAAGACAATATGTAATTTTATTTTGGTTAAATAGGAAGAAGTAATTGATAATTTTAAAAATTATCAGGAGGTCTGTTCAAAATTAGGGGGTTGACTGCTATTCAGGTAAATATCGTATTTCTTATATCCTATGAAGCCTCTGGCCACATGAGAGGTGTCTGAATTCCTTTAGCTTCTCAAGAACTTGGGAAAAATGCAGAAAGAATGACAGTTTAGATTTTGATTTAATAAGGTAAGTATTTGATCGTGCTATTACATCTACTCTCACTTTCACAAACAAAGCATTACTGCTCACATCACAGCTGATGTCCTAACACAAAAAGACTAAGAAGAGGCTACCCACCAATAAATATTTGCTAATCATATGTGATGTTTTTTAGCAGCAATGGTTTTGATATTCTTGATAATCAATGAACTTTTCTTGACCGATAGCCTACCTTTCCCCTACCTGGCACAATAAACGAAGGTAAATGATCATACTCGATAGTTACTGGAGAAAATAATTGTAATTAAAACAATTATTTATGGTTAATTTATTTACCAACTTGCTGAACCTGAGTGAAAATTTCGCAATTTGAAGTCAATTAGTTATCAGCCTTATTGTCCAAACCTACTAACTTCACCCTCTACGCCTAAGTATTCTCAACATGCAAAATAGTTTCTCTGACCTTGCATTTTAACTTATTTACTACTATCGGGGACAGGATATTAAGGGCCGAATTCATAGTCGTCTCTTACCCTGAGTGTTCCCTTAAGTACATGAATCGTATTCATAAATAGCCCTTGAGTGAAGTCTTAAGTGACAACTCATTCCTATAAGCAAGGCAGCCTGCTCCCTTAAGTGTTCTTTATGGCTCCGTCGCATTATCAGTCGTAACCAATTTAGGTTACACTTTTACGCGGCGTTCACCGGCTATCGAATTCGTTTCGCTGGTGTTGGTATAGTGTAGGCAGTTAAAACCTATCATTTGTGAAACGTGTTATGGAAAACGAGTTCAAAGATTATTTTCAGTTTTATACTCAACACATCCTGCGAAATTCGGAGAGATATATTAGAGATACGAGCAACCCATTGGAAATTTAGAACGATACACAATTCCGAAAGCGGTTTTTTTCAATAAAACTACTGCAGTGGATACACTTGTGCTGATGATTGACAAAGTCCCAATGACTAAAAGAGGGCTGCTGATTTTCCCCTTATTAAAAGTTCTCATTGCATTAAGATGTTATGCAACTTCATCCTTTCAGGAATGTTTCTAAAATTTTTAACTTTTATTCATTTCTGATTTATAAGACCTATTATACTAATTATGAATTTCGCAATATGAATAACAAGTGGAGTAATTTAAATTGTTGGAAAATGGAATTTATGTTAATGCTATATGGGGTTGACATTTTCAATTACATTAAGTGTTAATAATTCATTACCAATATTAGCAGACTTGTGTTCATATCATGTTACCATACCACCACATGTTCATTAGTTATACTAGAGCATAAGTTAACATTGAGGAATCAATCGAAACTGTTGTTAAGTATTATGTTACAATCCAATAATGCACATAAATAATGTGTAGAAAATGCACAAGCTATTGCAGAGATTCATTAACATTTTGATACGAGGATCATGAATTATATTTTTGATATTTTGATATTTTTGAACATTTCTTATTATTAGGGATTTGTAATAAATACATTTTTTAAATATTAACATGATACCGATGTCAGTCATTGAAATTATATGAGAATCATAGATTATATTGTTACAAATCTGCTTGTTATTAGTGATTGGTACTAATCACATTAGTAAAATATACATCTCGTCTTGTCTATTAGAGGTAGTAGAAGTATTTAGTCATGTGTGCGATGCCAACTCTACGTTGGAGTGTCCACCCCCTGTTAAATTGGGCGCTCTTTGAACAAGATGAAGTGTGTATGTAAACTTGGTTGCCAAGAACTTCGAAACAGCTGCCGCCAATGCCAAGTTGCCACATTTCCCGTCCGTTTAGGTGAACACTCATTCCGCGGTTGTACAGAACGTCTATGAAATACGAGCGCCTATAAGTGAACACTTATTTTGAGAAAGCACTTATCACTTAAGGGTTCACTTATCCTATAAGTCACAACTATGAATTCAGCCCTAAGGGCTGCAAAAGGATGCGCGGATTTATAACTTAAAATTTGTAGAAATAAATAAGAAACAATTAACTTAAATGTTGGCCAAATATGTAAAAATCTCTGATATGACAAAAAATGAAAACGTGACATTACAAAAATTAAAATTTAAGATATTAAATTTCAACCAAAATAGGCTTAAACATCTCAATTTCAAGTTTGCAAACAAAAAAGCAAAAGAGAAACAAATTACATACATCTGGTCCCTAACAATTACACATTAACAAAATATCATGTTTGCATTATTTCCAAGTTTATGGTGTAAGATTTGTTCTAATGAGAATATCATATAAAGAGAGGACTCTTTCACTATCAATATTTGGAACTAAGATGCATATTGATTGGATATAGTTTAAGCAGAGACTACAAGACAGACTGCTGCCGACTTTACTGAGATGAAACACAGGCAGGCGGGACACAAGAATGTTGTTCTTTATTAATATTTAATTACCTCGCACTTTGTATTTTCCATAAATGTGTTCAACTTTTTGTCAACTTAGAATTTTTGCAAGCTTTAACACATGCGACTAATAGAGGAATTTGTTTAAAATCAATAATAGATTGTTTTCACAAAATATTAACAACTTTTGCACTTCATTGTTCACCAAAAATCATTTCTATCTATACTATCTTACTATGTTCTCATAGTAATTGTGAAGAAGCTTTTATTAAAATATTTCAATTATTGCATTGTTATAGAGTATTTTATTTCTTGTTCATGAGTAGTGTAGGTGCTACTTTTTGGAAAATAATTGTGTTGTTTTGTTCAACAGCATTATTGTTCACACAAGCCACTAGTTCCTGAAGTGCATTACAAAGAATACTTAATAGTGCGTCTTTCTATCACATGTCTGGTAGACCCCTATCAAATGTTTCGTATAAAAAATACCCTTCCCTTCTATTAAATTTCTTGAAGTATTATTTTGCATTGTGAATGCGATATATTTGTAACTCTTTGAATTTCAATATAGCTGGTCTCTTCAAGGATTCTCATGAGGACCAACATCTCATACACAAATATTAATTTCACATTAAAAAAAAGATCACAATACATTAGCAATTCATAATAATTTCACATCCACAAACGTATAAAAGATAGAATCTTTATGTACCTGAGTGGAAGAATAATTTGAAGTAGTGTAACTAGAAGCAGTAGGATAGGATGAAGTACCAGACTTTTGGCTTGGATACGAGGCAGGATACGTTGCTGTACTTGGTGTAGAGTACGATAATCCCACATCACTTTTGTCCATATCCAAAGCCGATGAACCAGTTCCTCGAGATTGTGGAAAACTTGGCTGTGTTGTTTTATGTTCAGTTGTGGGCAATATCGACTCTCCAGATGAAAGCTATAGTAAAATTACATTCTTTCATAAATGTGTGCTGGAATAAGAATGTATTTTGAAAAAAGTAAGTACTAATAAATTCATACCTTCTGTCCTTGACCAAGAGTGGAACCTATACTTTGTTGAGTGGGCTTTTGGTTTGATGCAGATGTATATGCATCTAAAGGAGATGTTTGATTATTTCCACTGAGATCTAAATTTGACGATGCCCTAGGTGAAGGAAGCGAGTCAAGTACAGTACCGGATGTACTGTTAGGATATTTAGATGGTTCTGTAGTGGCATCAAATGAACTTTCACTCCCAAATTCCAGTCCACCAAACTGAACATCTAAATACCCTATACTGTTTATGGCATCTCCAGGCATTTCTACAGCTGTTGATGGAATCTATGGAGATTTTTAATATGTACAATATGAAAATATATTTACAACATTTGAACGAAGATAAATTATAAGACAAGAAGGCTTCATACCTTCGAAGGTGGAGGTACCCTTGGTCTTGCTGTTTTTGTTCTTTGAGGCATTGACTGTGGAGGACACTGAGTTGTAGAAGTAGTTGAATCTAAATTTTGTTCTTGAATTTGACTGGTATAATTAGGAGTAGTGCCCACATAATTGGAGGACGAAAAGGATGCTGCAAGGATCAATTTCATAAATTTGCTAATCCACAAGAAATAACCACATCCATAAGACAACTGAAATCAGCATTTACCTGCTGTAGAAGTGAAGCCAGAGGGAGGGCTAGGAGGCTGATAAGCTGTTGAAGAGGTTACTGGGAAACTGTTGCTGGTTGTGCCATAAGATGTTGCAGATGCAGGAGTGGAGGTGCCAATACCCACAGCTGACTTCAAACTATCAGTGTTTTGTGAGAATTGGCTCAGGTACTCGGACGGGGCTGCACTGAGCGTGTTCACCCCAACAGGAACCGGACTCTAAACAAGATTTCACAATTAATATGTTAATTATTATACACTTCCAGGGCCAAAGCTCATAAGTTTCCAACAGAACACACGAATTAATAATTTCTACATATGGATATCTAGCATTTACTTATTCATCAATAGATGCATTAAAAATCAATTTCAATTTTTTCCCTTGCGTTCCAGGCACATTAATGAATCCTACAAATCAGGTACATTTTCAGTTAACTTGTTAAGTTGACAATTTTAAACAATTATTATTACTATATGCAGAAACAAGAATTTATCACGTACATGAAAACCTGGTCAGACTTTCTACTAGCAGTTTAGGTCTGACTGCATGACAGCCGCAATTGGCAAGTTTAATTCTAATGTCATATACTTTCCGATGCAACTATCGTATCATAATGATTCGAAATAACTCCGAATGTTTTGATTTCATTAAGTGTTAGAAAACATAGAAAACAAATGTTGCACAATAATTCTACCCTACATAATAAATCCAGTGTTTTCTTTCCATTACAACCCTACAAAGCAAACAAATTATGTTTTAGTAATTACTAACTCACGAATTGCAACACTTTATTTTTATTCGAACTTGAAAAGCACTACATACCTTTAATAAGAAAATTGACAATATAGCTGTTGTGCATATCCTACACAAGTTGACAAACCTAAACAATCACCTCATGTCTCTACACTTCTAATATTATAAAAGGCAATACATCACATCATATGCAGACAGAAATGAAGAAAAGGTCTCCTGCTCAAGCTAATTAAATTTGAAAGAGAGGAAACGCAGGATCTGAACATTAAATCACATGCACACAATTTCCTTAGCACACATACTACTGTTAAAAAAAGGAACTCTCACATTACCTGTGATAATTGACTGGTTTGCTGATGTAGTTCGAGATTTTGTGAAGACATTTGGCTCGAACTAGATGCTACACTGCTTGAGAGAGTTTGAGCTGCTAACGAAGATGTAAGTTCAGAAACAGTCGATGTGGCAGTAGGTTCTTGTTGTGGTTCTGCAGTTACAGTCGGTTCCACAGCCGCTCCTACACTTGGTGTAAATACTTTGGTATCAGCCAGGGAGCCAGTGTATTCCTCATTATCCCAGTCTTCTGGCGATGGAAAATCATCACCCCATTTCTCTGTAAGTATCATGAACAATTCATAACTACATTGGAAGATTTGGCATCACCACTTCTTTATAACTGGACAGCAACATGCTTACCCATCTTCAGTCCATCTCCACCTGAATTTTCCTCAACACTAGGATTGTTCCAAGTTTCAATTGAACGTGGAAAACCACCTTTATCCCTATTCTGGAATGTGCGAGGTCCCAGCCTTCCTCCACGGCCACCTCTACCAGACCTTGGTCCATTCATCATGCGGCCACCTCCGCGTCTGTAACCATCACGCCCATCCTCCAAATTCTTTTCATTCTCCTTGTTTTCTCGGCCACGCCCTACAAAAAAGGAGATCATACAATATCACAACAGAATTTTCTACTCTATATTCTTTTTAAATTTACGAGTCAACAAGTAATCAACATACACCCCCTATTGTCCAAAGATCCGCGACCACGCATACGAGGAGGGCCACCACCTCGATTGCGGGATCGCTCACGATCAGTATTGAACCCTTGGCCAGCATCCCAGTCTTCTTGTTCCGTGTCTCTGTTGTTTTGTACAGTTTCCGATTTTGGTGTGTTGGTTTGCCGATTTTTCTTCTTTTTCCCTGACGTTTCCCATTCTCCCTATAGGATAAATTGCTCATTAAAAACATACAAATCTTAGTCACAATGAAAGTCATATTCTAATTTCAGCATCCTCACCGTTCCAGCACCTTCCAAGAGTAAATTAACTGCCCTGTCAGGATCGTTATCACAGTCATGGAGTGCAGTACAAACTTCATCTTCTGTCTTCCTTGTTGCATCCATTACCTGAGCAAATGAAAATGTGTGGAATATTCCTCTAACTATTGTAAAATAATTTCTAGTAAACTAGTACAAACCTGTTTGATCTTATCTCTTAAGTCCGGGTCTTCTGTCCTTGTGTCAATAATTTGTGCAATTCGCATCTGTTCTGCTGTTGGCTGTAAATGTATAAAAACATTCAGTAAGTGGTTGATTAAAAATAAATTAAAAGTAATTAATTACCTTTATATTCATAATCTTGTATTAATTACACAAAATGCATATTGCAAGAATAGTTACTCTTGACTACATAGCAATGCTGACTACATAGCAATGCTCTTGACTACATAGCTATAAATACATAAAACACACCTCAAGGTTTCCATTGCATAATATGAATAATTTCGGTTTGGCCACTTATTTTAATTCATTATAGCAAAATAAAAGGATTTCTACTAGAATGTGTAAACATTTACCTGAATTTTTGGATTATGGTCTAATGTTTTAGGAGAATCTGTCTTAGTGTCTGTTTTCTGTTGTTTATTTGCTACAGAAGCATCCTGTTTTGCACCTTTTCCACCACGTGAGGTGGAGCGGCTTGCTGAGCTCATCTTTACAAACACTATGTACACTCAACTATTTACAACTTGTTCTGAAAAATAAGAAATAACATAATTAAACACACAATTTGCACTTTGCTCCTCACCAGTGACAAAGAAACTGAAATACTTTTTCATCAACCTTCCCTTCATAATTCATACAATGAACACCAAACACACAAAACATTTTCCACAGAAACATTAACAAATGCAAAAACAATATAATAATACATTCTTTCACATTAAGCAATTCCCTGCTTTCTTCCATGCATTTCATATTAAAAGAAACAACCTTTATTTAATATTTGATTGAGATTAGAAAATTTGTAAACTAAAACCTCATGTTAGTTTTTGAAGCACCAACAAAAACAACCCTAAACATAATTGCACAGGCAATACTTTGGTGAGTAACACAATTGGGAGAATTGAAAATTTTAAACCACAATTAAGTTCATAAATTTTGAGAAATATATTCATGATTAAAAAGCTTCACTAATACAGGAAACGAGAATATGAAGCATGATAAATACACAATTGTTTTATATAACTTAAGAAAGGAAACTCTTTACACACTTTAAACATTTTCAAGATTTTAACCCTACTTTTTCCCAAAATGTATAAACAATGGATGAACAATAAACAGCAAACACAATGCATCAAACGTTAACAAAAGTCACTCACAACACAAGTTTCTGATGAAATCCCAAACAAGATCGGAATTCAACGGTTTTTAATATTTAATCGTGATGCTGTTGTGATCACTGAAAGGTTAGCTATAAGAAACAGCAAGAAACCCACGTAAGTAAAATCATTCAAATACGATATTAATGAAGGAAAACAAAGATAATAAGTAAAACACAAGTCTCAGGCAAACGTTAAATGAACATTACTAGCACACAGCAAGTTGTAACTATCAGAAAGGAGTCATTTACCGATCCACTCCAGTGAACTTGGATCCTACGTAAAGTACAACGTCTGAGCGGCTAGAACTTCTTTGAATACCAGAGCAAAACGTACGTGCAAACGAAATATGCATAAAAGGGCTTCAACACACCAGCATGGAATTTGTAATCACAAAGCCGGGTTAACTCCAGCCATGTGGGGAGGACGCCATTTCAAAGTCTTGTTAGGCTTACTATTGACAACCACCAAAATTCAAAGCTAAAATTTTTCAAAACTACAAACCATATCAAGCCCCAAGAGATTGTTCTCAGTAAATAACACAAGCGATTTTCCACTGCGGTAATCTAATCAATAATTTCTGGCCAAAAATGCTTCTAAACCTTACAAATTACACATAATAGCCGTACCTGCAAAATGCGCTCAAAACGCAATCAAGTCACGTGACATATACTCTAAGAAGTACACGAAAGAGCCGCATCTCCAACGGAGCGCTCGGGTAAACAGGGCAGCAGCATCCAATATTATCTTTTCATCATTTATCTCTCAGTAAAGTTTCGGTAACTGAAATTTTGAAGCGTTAAATCGAAACATATTTTCAAGCTTGAAATCTTTAAAATAATTAAAGAGTATGTAGATATTTAATTGAAATAAGATATTTCAAATTAAACTCAATTTCTCTATTGTGACTTATTTCAAGGGAAACAATGGAACGAAATTTGAATCAAAATACCGATTCTTCCACTATCAAAAGTTTGATGTTTTCTTAAGTTGGTCTCATGTACATTGATCAGAAATGAGCGATTCGATTTTGATTAGAGACTTGTTATTCAAAGGCATACATTTCGGCGAATACAATTTATTAAATCTTCATTTAAATTTAATATTAGATTTCCCTTAGATGAACGCTCAATTGAAAAGACAGATCTGACGGTGGACGCGTATATTCTAAGTGAAATCTATCTTTCTTCGCAACAAAAACAAGCGAGTTCAAGTTTTTTAGTGCTTACAATGGTTTAAAAATTACCAGGTCGTTGTAATAGGATGGACATGCATCACTCTTGTTTGAGAAAAAGGTACAAAGAGGGAGACTAAAGGTTGATTAGAACCTCTGGAAAGTACAGTGCCCAACGTGCCACGTATGCCGGGCAGCAACGCCCTAAGCCACACTATGCAGATGAGAGGGGCAGTGGGAGGATTGTCGGCGACGGCGACGGCGGCGACGGCGGCGCCCGCAGCGGCGCGCAAGGCCACGGGGAGGCCAGGCCACGGCCAGTAGTGGCTCAAGGCGCAGCTCGCCGCTGCTCTGCGCATTATGCGAGTGTTGACCCATTTTCCGCAGCGCAGCGACGGCAAGACGACGGTAGTGCAGGTGGGTTGACCGCCGCCGTCGCCGTCGGATGCTGCGTCGCGGGCGCACGACGGAACGTGTGCTCCGGCCGACACTTTCTCACGCGGCGCACGAAGTCGTGGCATGAAGGCTTCACTAGGCGGCGAGGCAGCTCGTCGCTTGCATGCGCGATCAGGGAGTACGCCGCTCGTTTCCTGTGATGGCCCCGTGATCAGACGAAATGTCGTCTTCGCCTGTTATAGATATGGAATTTGTAGTCTACGCGTCATAGCGTCTATCATTGTCCATTAAGATTTTAAATGTATTATTGTTATTTTTATTAGAGAACTAAATTTACTCTTGTTTGTATAGGCGTGCGCAGGGTAAAACAAGAGGGGGCAACTACATTTCTGTTCCCACTCTTTTCCATTAAACTTTTACTATTAAATAAATTGTACGGAGATTGAAATTATAATTTGAATGATATAATCAATAAATCCAATTGATTTTATATTGAACCATTTACAAGTTGCCAGATGTCGTAGAGAGCCTCTTTTCCAAATAATGTAATTTCCCCCAAATTTTTAGGTTAAAATGGAGGAAATCAAGGATAAATCATAGTTTCAAATACAACCTTTTATTGCGTAAGGCAACGAGACCCTTTCAAAATTTACAAGGGGAGGAGACAGGCCTCCTTCCTCTTTGTCCGCTTTCACGACACGATTTCGTACTGTCTATCCAATAGTAGCTCCAGAGTGCGAGTTGGCAGTTTTGCCTGGGGGTGTCAACATTTTAGTGGGAGCGTATAGACGAAATGAGAGAAACGACCATTTTCGTTTTCGCAGCACAGCCTGAATAAATCCCAAGAAATTTCTTAGAAATGTTTTGTTTTACAATTTCCTTGATTTGGATTCCTTGATTCGAACATTTCAAAGTGTGAAAATGAATATGGATGAATTATGTTTATAGATGAGACAAATCAATACTTTCCCCGCAGAAGACAAACTCTCAAAGGGGACAATCTCTTTTATATCCCTTGCCGTTAAAACGCATACTGCTCCTTTCTCATTTCCAATTTAAGTTAAACCTTAACAGTTACTTTCAACTGCAAATTCACTTAAATATTTTCCCACGCCATTTTAAGTTTCTCGTCCCATTACGGCTGTTACAAAACGTTTCTCTAATTGCACAATGTATGAAGAATGAGCCATCATTTTAATTAAATTAGATTGTATTCATTGTAAGGAAAGTTTGAGTCCAGTTCAATCAAATACAACATTGGCACGAAATCTGTTGCACATTGAGTTCCTACTCGTAGTTTTAGTATCTTCTATTTGAGGTCATTGTTAAAGATGGAAATGCTATTCAATAAGTAGTTTCAAGCTTTCAATAAAATTATTAAATGGATAGGTTCTGCCTAAAAAAGGGATACGCAAGAACATGTAACTCTACTTTCACAGAACTTTTTCTAGGAATGGTAAACGAATGGTTCCAAAAGGATGTAGTCCTCGAATAGACATCAACACACCTTTCAGATTCGATACCAGTTGCATGTGGAATCCCGCAGGGATCTATTTCAGGCCCAATTCTCTTCCTACTATACGTAAACCATATGCCCTCGACGATTAGTACGAAAGAACAGTTCTCTTTGCGGATGATACGAATATCCTTTGCAATAAATAAACCGGAAATAGTACAATATCAGATATTTCAAATTGATCCCGTAATAACAAATTAATACTAAATGAAAAGAAAACTGGTTTAGTGCAGTTTTCCATTTCAAATAAACAGCTATGCACTCCACTGAAAATGAACGGCGTACAATTGACTGATGTTAAGGAAACAAAATTTTTAAGTCTTTCAATTCAGTCAAGCCTTAAATGGAACCTCTATTTAAATGAATTGAACACTAAATTACGTTCTTTATACTACGCTTTCAGAATTCATTCAAATTCAGTCATCCTCCATACTGCTTGTTATTGTGTGTATATTTTGCGAATATTCAGTCCAGCCTGCGATATGGCATATTATTCTGGGGAATTACATCTTATAGCTCCCAGACTTTTAGAATACAAAAAGAATTGTACGAATCCCACCCACGTGATTTTTGTAAGCATCTCTATATTAATCTAGTTTTTTTACCATCACCTTGTCGTTTCATATACATGTATCAGTGATTTTTGTCAAAAATGACTTACTTTAGGGTGGGAATATATTTTCAGCGAACGCCCTTATATATAATTACAATACTCGACAAAAGTCACATATAATGCATGTACTACATTATTTTACATCTTGCCAGATAGCATTAAACGATGAAATTCGATGCAAAAGTTTGTCCCAAGTGAAATCATTTCTGCTGCACAACTGTTTCTGTATAATTAGAGACTATACCGAGCATCCAAAAGGAAAGTAATATTAATTTTAACAATGAAATTTAATGTATTATTTGCCATTTGGAATGTATAATTTTAAAGGGACCTGTAACAAGTATTATACTTCAGCTTCTGGGTCAATAACCCCCTTCTCGATCAGTTTTTCGCCCACTTTCCCTGATCCTTGAACAAATGGTAAGATGGCCCCTTGTTTTGCATCTGGACATAAATGTAACTTAAAAATATCTTCTCCCCAGCACGACACACAGTTTTTAACTGTTTTTGACGTAAATAAATAAAAATCACTATAATAATAATAATAATAATAATATTATTATTATTAATAATAATGTCGATTCGTATTGCCGAAATTTCTGAGGTAGTAGTGCCGTGGCGATCTCGGACGGAAGGATCGCGGGTTCGAGTCCCACATTGGGTATGGGTATGTTTGTGTATGTCTCTATGTTTATGTCGTCCATTCACCCTTCATTATCATCATCATTCCGTATCTCATTCCCCCGAGGGCTTGCAACCCTGGGGGATACAAATTTCGTAATTCAGCGTAAAATGTCAAAGGAGTCACATATACATGCCACGGGAAATATGTAATCGAACCTCGGCAAGTGTAAGTATATGTCCGCGTGGGCCTAGCTGGCCAATTTACGCCCTCCCTAAAAATGCCAATCCCCAGGGCGCAGGTGTTTGCGAGAGCCGTCAGGCTGCAGGTTCGAGTCCTGCTAAGGCATGGTTGTAATTGTGATGGTCCCTTCATCCCTCATCATCCTATTGCCTCATAATTCAAGGCTTAACATTACTGTCATACCAAGAGATACAGCCGTCAAGCTGATACCATAATGACATACAATCTCTCTCCAGGATAGAATATGACTGGGCCTCGAAAGACAGTGTAGATCAGAAATTGCCGATACGCAAATAATAATAAAAATAAAGTAATAATAACAGCAGTGAAAATTCACCTGGCTATGAATCAAACATAAGGACTTGATGTGGAACCTCCTCCGACGCTCGATAGAGTTCGTCCACTTTCATTCGAATCTCATGCACTGTTGAAAAGAATATACGAAAATGCTACATTTAAGAGTGTGAAGGAAACAGCGAATTCTGTCTTAAATGAGGTGGTACAGACTTCAGATAGATATCTAGATATTACTGAAATAAATGGCATAGGGTATGCAATTGTGTATCTGGTATCGCAGATAATTTTGAGGCCAGCCAAGAACACCGACGGCCGGCAGGCAAACAGAACAAACAGCTTCGTGCTGCCGACGTGGGACGAAAAGAATTACGAAACGGAGAGCTGACGCGGCGTGAAATTAGTCTTGGCCGAGGTATCTTCTAAATCAACGCACACCTCTACATTTCAACGAAAAATACCCCAAGTTGAACAAAAATACCAAATTCAAAACGACACAACCAGGCTAATGTTAGCTGAGAAGCTAAAAGAGAAAATCCAAGCATGGGCTCAACGAATTCAACTTAACAAACCTAGAATATATTTCCGCGTTCAGAATCAGTTGTTTGAAAGAGGCGCGAAGGTATTATATCAGACTCAAAAACCGAATGCCAATGCTGTCCTCCTTCAAAAGAAGACCTCGAAATATTTTGGGCAGGAAATTGGGAAGAAAGCAAATCCTACAATAAAGACTCATCTTGCCTTCAATGGCGTTGCCGATAACTTGCGGGAGCCAGTGGATCATGTTGACAAATTTTCGGAAGAGGGGCTCTTCCAAGCAATTAAGAACATAGGAAAATAGAAATCCCTTGCGATCCGGGATTTTTAGATTTTTATATTTGATGTAGTCTGTCGATGAAACTAGATGCTATTGGTACGCTTAAAAGAACCGCCAAAATTGTAATAGAAAATAAGATTGACACGGCCTTCTAGATTCTTATCTAATAACAAATAAAGCAATGTTGCCAAACATTATGTAGCGAAATATTGTCAGAGTTCGTCTCTCAAATAAGTGGTGTCTATGAAAACAACACTGTCGTAAGAGTTCGCTTATTTGAAGTAAATCTTATTACTTAAGCGTTTACGTCTCGTATCGTACTTATCGTAAGTGTCGACTATGAATACGGCCCGGCTCATGCGTCAATTATTGCCAAGCCACAAGGGTGATGATTGGTGCGCGTGAGAAGTAAAACACTCCGAACGTGCTAGTTTCTCCCAATGCATCGACGTTGCTGCGGTGTACCCTGGAGTGGATTTTTCGAGGAAGAACTTTCATTTGCGTCTTAAAAATGTTGACGCAGCGCGTCTCCATGCCTCTCCAAGCGGGGCGCTGAGCGCTTTGCGCTTCCGGAGTAATCCTCCGTTAATATCAGCGCGGGAGGCCGGAGTAATCCTCCATTAACACGTCTCGTTGCAGTCAGTTGTCGAGAGGACCGCCAAGTAGCATCTCCGCGTACGCGCCTCCTACTACGCCCCCCAGCGTCACTACTCAACCGTAAAAATTGGGATGGAATTAGGATTGTGGTAGGGTTTAGGACAGGCAGACTGCACAGGGGTTGGACTAGCCACTGTAAAGTAGGCAATCTCGTTTCGTCGTTACAAATTTCGCATGAGGTTCTACGGGGATTCTACGGGAATCGAACCCGGAATCTCAGTAGTGAAAGACCAGCGACTTTGCCACTGGGCCACATGCCTCGAACGATGGCCTCGCGGGCGTGGTGTGTTAAGTGTCGTGGTGCCCTAACAAATTGTGCGTCGAAAAATCGGCCCATTTAAGAAGTGTTCTGCTCACTTTTTCTGTTATAGACAGTGAAGACAGTGTGGTAGCTTGGTGGATGCATAGGGCCCACCCCTATAACAGGGGTGCACCAATCTGCCCCACCTCTATAGCAGGGGTGACCACCTTGCAAGGCCTCAAGGGCCACAACTAAAACCTTTAATGTGCTTGTGGGCCATGTTTTCTTTACTGGGGCGTCCCACACGTGACCCCGCATTGTTGATCTCTGTAGTTTGCTTTGCTGAGGTGAAACGGGAGGGGGATGGAACCATGCATAAAGAAATGACACACATTGGAATGATTTTTTTAATTTCTGAATTTACTAGAAGAAATTCCTTAAATCAAAACTTAACCTATTTTTACATTAAGGGGGTGTTGATCCCGACATGACTTTTTGAAAGTAAATATGCTGATGTAATAAATCAAAGATCTCTCCTCTCGTAATGCATTCAGAGATAAAAAATAAAGGTAAATGAACGCAAGGACACAAAAAACACATATAAATCATCAAAATAGGAATGTTTTCTTGGAATGGGGAATGTAAGCTAAAAAAAATATTTTAACTTATGTTAAGTAACTTTTACGTATTTATAAGAAACTTTTTCATATGTGTGTTTTGATGTATTATACGATGCGGATTGATAATTATCAGTAAATGACTAATGGAACTACAAAATTATATTACAAATCTAAACGCCATGTAAAACTACATATTCTCAAGTATTGTTCACTAGAGACATTCAACTTTGCAGTACGTAAACTTCGAAATTGTCTTTCCTATTCTCACTTCATAATAAGGACTGCGGACGTCCTGGCGCAGCTCATCTCCGATTGGTTGCACATCGATGCCATTTTTTGGGATGACAGGATCTCTTGCCCATTTCCTATTGGATGGATTCATTGAAAGTCTATTTGTACAGTTTTGAAGACTCTGATTCACATTTCGTTTTCCAATTTTGTCAAGCTTTGGAACTCAAATTAATCTTTGTGCGATATTTCCTGAATATTTATTTATGGAAACCATTTATTGGATAGGGAAAGCAGTGAATTGTATCTAGTGGGTGAAATGGAAGAAATTTTATTTACACCTTCGCACTCCTTGCCGTATCTACCATTTCCGCCACCCCACACTCTTCGTCCTACCCCTCTCAGTCGAAACTAATTTTCACTTTTGACCATCAATAACGTAGAGCCTGATTGTGATATCGGAATGATTCAAAATTCATTTATTATGGGTTTTCAGAAACTTTTATAAAATTTTTTAAAGGATTTAGTTTTTGTTATATTCGCAAAACACTGAATGTTCACTTCAATTACGCTTAAAAGGAGGGAGGGATGAGGATTGTTTTTATGGAATTTCTCGTAGACGGTGACTTCACCTTTGTCGATTTGCATAAGAAACAAACGTTCTTTTATAAGAAAATAATGATCAGAAAAATGTAACCCGATCTAATTTTATTTCTTTCGAGTAAAAACCCCATCAGAATCGGTTTAACCGGCCCAGATATTACCCGAACAGACAGCCAGGGCCAAAACTAAAAATGATTGAATAGATTTTTATATCATGTTAATAAACGCATGAGCTTATAAAACTCAGTTATTTTGAATACACAATACCAGACTGAAATTTGATTTATCTGAGTAGTTGGATCCATGCGAATATTTAAAAATCTGTAAATAATTTTAAAAATGTAAATATTTTCGGGATCTAACTTTAGATAGCTAACTTTTGAAATGTGGGTTACATTCTATAAGCTCGGTACTCCAGGGAGTTAATATTTTAATATTGTTAAGGGTTTATAAACTAACAGACTCTTGCATTTATGTTGCATAGAATATCGAGTCAATTGAATTTTACCTGTTTTACATATCGCTGGCTCCCTCAGCTATGGTATGGGATACAAAGAAGACCTAACCTCTTAAAAATGTAACAGATCTGAAACTGTGACATTTTGTAGATTACGAGTTAATGAACCACTAAGAGTCTCCAAGGGGAACCGCAAATAAGTTTTAAGCTCCTAGGGCAAGCTATTTCTGAGTTAGGCGATGGGATATTACGGATTGACTTGCGTCTGCTGATTTCGTTACAGAATCCCCCTCCCCCCCATTCTATGTTTCTAGCCTTAAAATGTGTTTGATGCACAGTTGGGGAGATATTTCACATTTAGCTGCATCAATTTCATAGTTTCATGTCGACAGAGTCATACATCGTACAAAACCGTAATCTTTCCTTAGCGAAACGTTCTATGTAGAATGTCCAAAGAAGAAAAGAAAACTTCGAAAATACTAAGTCCATTAGAAAAATTTAAATATATTTGTATAATTACTCTCTTTCTCATTTTGAATGGTTGAGCGGCAATAATCACGCGACAGCTGAGTTGAGAAACATGCAAATGTACCTTCTTTGTTAAATGCATCGTGAAATACACGAGAACCTACATATATCAAAATTCATGGGACGAGACAGTGACGCCTGAAGCGTAACCCGGAGCAACGGCTGACGCAGACCCATTTCCAGAAATGGAACAAATTTCAAGATGGAGTCTTCCTTCCCAGCACAACACGTTTATCGACGCTTCTCGGGTTAGCAGTTGTCGGAAAAAACAACCAGATGTAAAGATCAATACTTTCCTTTTGACACGTTTCGAAGGTCTGGATGGAATTAAAAAAAAGTGCAGTTTAGATTTAATAAATATGAAAAGAGAATCAAATCCCCAAAAGTATAATTATTTTATTTGTATTAAAACATGGACCCAGAGCTAGCTTTCGGGAACATATTTCTTACATTTTCAGTGAGATTTACAACAAATAAGAACACTTTTTACTTTCTCGCCTTACTAAGTAAGTAGTAAAGAGAAAGTATTGTAATCGTGTGGCAGAAATTGTGATTTTTCGACAGAAAAAATTATTGTCGGGCCCTGGTAACGAACAAGTGGATACATTTAGTTTCTATGTGTAGTAAATTACTTTCTCCAAAACGTTGTGTAGCCAGAACCCAGGCCTTGATACTTAAAAATGAATGAAACCGAGAATTGAGCACTGATTGACGGCAAAATGTTCTTGGCAAAAGTTCAAAACAATTTCGACGCATTCCTTCAACAATTTTGAAGATTTTCTCCATTATATTACTGTTGTTCAAAGACAGTTATTATATGAACTATAATACATTACCCTGTGTATTTATATGATGTCGGAATTTGCAGTCCAAATGCATTTAGAATGTTTTTAATGTATGTATCGTAAGCACCGAGGAATCCAGATATTAATCTGATTCTGGTTGCGACCGCTTTAGGAAGTTAGAGCGAATTGCCATTATACTACGTTGATAGTCACTCCTTGATGACAGACATATTCTAATCTTATTTTTGTTAATACTTACACATTCCGTCTTAATTTCTTTCACAAAACAATTGAATATTATAAACCTGCAACGGAAGACATTCTAAAAGAGAATGAGAATCACTACACTTCAAGAAGAAGAGGGTTGGACTGAATTCAACTCATTTACACGTGTCGCAGACGATTGTGCACATTGTACGAATTGGTTGCTGTCTCCAGAGAGGGACATTCCAAACACCAGGAGAGACGAATGGAAAAACTGAAGAGTAAAACGAAGAAAATCTTCGCAAACGAAACATGCAGCTAATATAAATCTGAGCACCTAGTCTGAGTGAATTTCGAGAATGCCCTCGGGAATGTTTGCCTGTCAAATGCCCTCGAGTTGGATTACTTGACTTCAACATTGCCAAGCGCGGCAATGATAAACGATGCACCTAATGTGAATTAATTGTATCTCCGGTAAAGATAAATAATTACTTTTCAGCAGTGGATATCAAGCTCTGTAGGACAACCCCCGGCATCCCCTACCCCGAATCGAACGCTGCTTGTGTGTTTACTGCATCGAGTAGGGATGAAACATCGATGTCGATGTTTTGAAAACCTCGATGTATGTTTTATTAACATCCGTGGTTTTGGGTCGATGTTTTATTAACGTTGATGTTTTATTAACATCTGATAATTGCTGATATTCTCCCCATATCACATACAGTTTTTACTGTTTTTGACTAAATAAATCGAAATCTAAAACTGAATTTATACATCGACGGTATTGGGTCGATATTTTATTAACGTCGACGGTTTTGGCTCGATGTTTTATTAACGTCGACGGTTTTTGGCTCGATGTTTTATTAACGTTGATGTTTTATTAACATCTGGTGATTGCTCCCCATGTCACATACAGTTTCTACTGTTTTTTGACTAAATAAATCGAAATCTAAAACTGAATCTAAACATCGATGGTATTGGGTCGATGTTTTATTAAGGTCGACTGTTTTGGCTCGATGTTTTATTGACATCCATGGTTTTGGTTCGATGTTTTATTCACGTTGATGTTTTATTAACATCTGATGATTGCTGATATTCTCCCCCATGTCACATACAGTTTCTACTGTTTTTTGACTAAATAAATCGAAATGTAAAACTGTATATAAACATCGATGGTATTGGGTCGATGTATTATTAACGTAGACGGTTTTGGCTCGATGTTTTATTGACATCTTTAGTTTTGGGTCGACGTTTTCATTAACATCGATATTTTATTCGGAGCATCGCTGTTTAGGGACATCGATGTTTTCATTAACATCGATATTTTATTCGGAGCATCGCTGTTTAGGGATATCGATGCTCTGTGGTCGCTTTCCTAGCATTCCTAGCGCGGAGGCGCTGAACCGCGCGCGCGCGTGGCCGCTGCTCCGCCCCCTGTCAGCAGGCGAAGGCCTCGCTCTGCCGCCGGAAGCGAACCGGAAACCTACCGGAAGGTGATCCGGTTCCTTGGGAATCAGCTCCGGGCGCCGGCTTCTGCTTCAGGCGAGGAAAGACCTCGCGAGATTCAAGGGCGCCGAATGACGATCCAACTGGCTTATTCACTTGTTATTTCTGTTCGACTATTGTGCAACGCTGGCGGTGATCGTTGCGTTAACCGTTATGGAGGTCGAATGAGGTTTTATGGTGGGTTGAATGGGTTATAGACCGGAGGCCCACACCTCTTGGGAGCGCCTTTCGAACGAGAATATACACATTTTAAAATTAGTTTTTTGTTTTTTTTTCAGATTCAAAAGTTTCAACTTAATGACGCAATTGTTCATCAATAAGTAAATATTCAATTAGCTTCTATAAATTAAAGTCAATTAAAATACGTTGAATACAATTGTAAAAATATAGATACTGTATCCATTATGTAATGTAGATATACGTTTCGGGGCTCTTTTTCTCAAACGACAGGTGCAATTAAAAAGCCAAATTAAAGAATTATAAGTATGAAAGATAATAACGAGAATTGATAAAAAAGATCAACACTGAATCTTTCGACGTGCATAATTCGGAAATATGCTTGTAGGCTCTTTACAATAAGATTTTTTGTACCCGAAGGAATTATATTTATCTTCGAATTTACAAAACGAAACCTTTTACGTCGTTCCATTACATTTTGAGATGGTACACTTACTCCGCAGAACGGTTTGTTTGAAACATTCGTAGCTGTGTTCAAATATTAAACTGTTACCACTTTTCAAAACATTGATTAACATAGTGGCCGACTAGTTTGTTGGCTTGGCAGCCTCGTTGGCCAGAAGGTTCTGGGGATCGACTCCCGACGGCGGTGGATTCTCGGATCTTACGTACATTTCTGCGTCGAATCAACCAATGTGCGGAGGAGAATTCCAGCGGCTGGCTGCGCTGATCAGTAATGTTTCGGGGTTTCTCCGATAAACACCAAGTGCATATTAAAACGGTAGCCGAATAAAAGGACCACGGTTATATTTCTTTCCTCATCCTTGATCCCCTCTTATCCCGTTACACACATGCAGATTCAAATGAAGCAGTTTGCGTCGTAGCCGGGATGAT